GTCGGGGTATCCTTAACTTCCCACAGCCACCAGGGGATGTGACTTCCCTTGGCTGCCTCCTCTGCATTTGAAATAAATTCCAAAGCTCTGTGCTAGTGTCTTGGTGGTGGCCCGTGGAGGAGACCAGTGTAGGCCGGGGGTGGGGAGCCTATGCTCACCCAGCCTCACACATGTAAGGGCGCCTCCCTGGAGCAAGGCCAGGACCCCAGCTGCCGAATCTCCGAGGTTCAAAGGCAGACCCAAACTGTAGCTGTCCATTTTCACCTGTGACACTGCCGCAACCTAAACCTCCTGGGTAGTCACCCCCAGCAAGGTTGGGCTCAGCCCCAGGAGGCCCAGGTGTGGCCTCTACCAGAAAGGCCAGTGCAGGCGAAGAGCTGCTCTGGTGGAGGACAGGAGGGCATTAGACCAAGAAAGGGAGAGAGAATATCTGGAGTGGCCTGAGATAGAGCTGTGGCCGCTAACATCTCCCTCATCAGAGGCTGAGGCCAGCACCAGGGGAGCCCAGGAGGGCTGGCGGGCGTGAGCAGGGGACCGAGGTGCTGGCGGCTCCTGCTGCAGGCTGCGTTGCACCCGGCCTGGGATCCATCCCCGTGCGTGCAGGCAGTTAATCTCTGAAGGCCGGACTCTCCGCTGCTGGAGGGCAGGAACATTGAACTTTTCAATCACATTAATTTCCACAGGAAATTGTTGTCTTCCTTTTGTCCAAAGGTTAGTGATTTATATTTACCATCCTCTTAACTAGCCTTGAAATTTACTGTTGCCAGGTCACCACCGGCTTCCATAAATCTCAGGGTGGCAGCTGAGCATAGCCAAGTGGCTTGATCCTCAGAAGGGCTCACCCCAGCCCTTTCAGGAGGGCAGATAACTAGCAACAGATAGTCCCTGCACAGAAGTCCCCCTGGCAGGGATGGGACCCAGTTGGCAGGGGAACGAGATGGGGTCTGACCAACAAGGTTGCAGGGAGGCCTCTTCGGTAGCAGACGCGGCAGATAGCTGGCTCGTGCCTTGGGACATCGCCGGAGGAGACGTGCTTCTAGCTGAGGACAGGGCTGGTGGCACAGAGGTGTCAAGTAGCTTAGTTAGGTTGGGGAGTGGGGGCCTGTCTGACCTTAGGCAAGTGACTTAACCACAGTGTGCCTCAGTTTCCTCAACTGTAATAATTCTCCTCATCGTGTTGATTTGAGGGTTAGACCTCAAACAATATTAGCTAATATTATCCTTTATTAGGGCCGGGTGGGTAGTTTGGTGTGGACCTCAGAGTCGGTTTGCTGCACCTTTCTGCCTGCACTGTCCCACTCATTTCCCTTTTAAGAACCCTCTTCTTCCATCTGTTTGTGGAATTAGAATGAACAGGGGCTGGTAAACTTTTTCGTAAAGGGCCAGTAAGTACTCTGTGGTCTCTGTTGCAACTACTCAGCTCTGCTGTTTTAGCATGAAAACAGCCATACACAAGAAGTATTGAATGTGGCTGTGTTCCAATAAAACTTTATTTGTGGATGCTCAGATTTAAATTTCTTATAATTTTCATGTGTCACAAAATACCATTCTTCTTTTCTTTTTAAAAATCATTTAAAAAGATAAAAACCAAGATTTCTGGTCAAGATGGCAGATAGGTAAACACAGCTCGCCTTCTTGAATAACCACATCAAATTTACAACTAAATTATAGAACAACCATCACTCAGAACTGTCAGAAATTGAGTTGAATGAAAGCCTGACAACTATGGAATTAAAGAAACCGCATCCGTCCAGACTGGTAGGAGGTGAGGACACGGAATGTCCTGGTTCCACATCCATGTGTGCTGGACAAAAACTTGGGACGGCCCAGGCTGGACTGAGTGCTGGCCTGTGAACTGAAAGGTCACTGGTTTGATTCCCAGTCAGGACACATGCCTGGGTTACGGGCCAGGTCTCCAGTTGTGGGTGTGGGAGAGGCAACCGATTGATGTTTCTCTGCATGTTGATGGTTCTCCCTCCCTTTCCTTCTCTCTAAAAATAAATAAATAAAATCTTTATATAAATATTATATATATGAGAAAAACATGGAAGGGATATCTAGGGAACGAGGAGTCCAAGCCCCACACCAGGCCCTTCAGCCCAGGGTTCCAGTGGCAGAAAGATAAGTCCCTTCTTATCTTCTGGCTGCAAAAGACCATCAGGGATTGAGTCAGTGGAAGAAACTTCTGGAGTCCCAAGTAGGTCCTCTTTTTTTTTTTTTTAAGATTTTATTTATTTATTTTTAGACAGAGCAGAAGGGAGGGAGAAAGAGGAGGAGTGAAACATCAATGTGTGGTTGCCTCTCATGCACCCCCTACTGGGGACATAGCCTGCACCCAGGCATGTGCCTTGACTGGGAATTGAACCCGCAACGCTTTGGTTCACAGGCCCACACTCAATACACTGAGCTACATTGGCCAGGGCCAGGCAGTTCCTCTTAAAGAACCCACACATAGACTTAGACTCACTCCTTCTGAGCTCCATTACCAGGGTAGCAGCTTGAAAGGTACTAGTGGCAAGCAGGGAGGAACTGAGGTGTCTGGTATCAAGGCAAGAGCTGGGGGACAGCTTTCTTCCAGACAGAAAGGTGGTCAGAAGCCATTTGTTCCCTTTCTGAACCTTTCTCCCACAGAGCAGGGGGGTGCCATACCTGAAACTCCAACCTAACACTGTTTGCCCCTCCCTGGAGATCACCTGAGGCTTCTTCCCACCCAATTTACAGTTATTAACAGTGGCTTTTCCATATGAATGGCTGGTCTTGGCTTATGCTTCACAACTTCCTGAATTCTCTCAAACAAGCAGGCCTCAGTGAGCTCCCAGCCCTCATACCTCGTTTAAGTGGCCCCAGGCACCTCACTAGAAGCAGTCAGCCTAGATTTACAGCTTGGATTCACCTGGGACTCTCCAAGTCCATCACAAGTAGCAGCCATCTCAGATAACTTTATGACTCAGGCAAGGTGGCCCTGGTTGTTTACAGGTTGGTGCTGACCTTGGCCTGCACCACCTGGGAAATCCCAGAGCCTGTGCACCCAGTGGACAGCTACAGACCGCATCAGAGCACCACCACCCTGTCCCTGCACAACTGATCCTTCATGGAGGGCAGAGGTTGGTGGTAAGTAGTCACAGCCAGTCCTTGCAGCTGACTGGCCTGGGTAAATCCCTCCCATTGATCTGCCAACAGCAACCAAGGCTCAACTACAAGAGAAGGGTGTATTCAGCTCACAACGAAGGGCACACTCTGAGTACCCAGTCTGGGTAACAGGGTAGGCTGTGTCATTGGACCCTACAGGACACCTACTCCATTAGGCCACACTACAAAGGCAGGGAGTCATAGAAGCTCCACCTAATACATAGAAATAAACACAGGGAGGCTGCCAAAATGAGGAGACAAACATGGCCCAAATTAAGGAACAGATCAAAACTCTAGAAAAAGAACTAAACAACGTGGAGATAAGCAACCTGTCATATGCAGAGTTCAAAACACTGGTTATAAGGATGCTCAAGGAACTTAGTGAGGACCTCAGCAGCATGAAAAAGACCCAGACAGAAATGAAGGTTACACTAATTGGAATAAAGAACAATTTACAGGGAAACAACAGTAGAGTGGATGGAGCTGAGAGTCAAATCAATGATTTGGAACATAAGGAAGCAAAAACAACCAAACAGAACAGTAAAGAAAAAAGAATAAAAAACAAAAACAACGATAGTGTAAGCAGCCTCTGGGAGAACTTTAAGTGTTCCAACATTCAGATTGTGGGGGTGTCAGAAGGAGAAGAAAAAGAGCAAGAAATTAGAAATCTATTTGAAAAAATAAGGAAAGAAAACTTCTCTAATCTTGTGAATGAAATAGACATGCAAGTCCAGGAAGCACAGAGAGTCTCAAATAAGATGGATGCAAAGAAGCCCATTCCGAGATGAATCATAATCAAGATGCCAAAGGTTAACGATAAAGAGAATTTTAAAAGCAGCAAGAAAAAAGCAGTTGGTTAACTACTGGGGAGTTCCAATAAGACTGTCAGCTGATTTCTCAGAAGAAACTTTTCAGATCAGAAGGGATTGGCAAGAAATATTCAAAGTCACAAAAAGCAGGGATCTACAGCCAAGTTGCAAAGCTATTATTTGGAATGGAAGGGCAGATAAAGAGCTTCACAGACAAGAAAAAACTAAAGGAGTTTATCATCACGAAGCCATTATTATATGAAAGGTTAAAGGGACTTATTTAAGAAAAAGAAGATCAAAACTATGAACAATAAAATGGCAAAAATACATATCTATCAACAATTGAATCTCAAAAACAAGCTAAGCAAACAAGAGGAACAGAGACAGAGTCATGGATATGGAGAGTGTTTTGATGGTTGCCAGACGGAGGGGGAGTGCGGGAATGGGAGAAAGGTGAGGGGATTAAGAAGTACAAATAGGCCGTTACAGAACAGCCATGGGGATGTAAAGTACAGTACAGGAAAGGGAGTAGCCAAAGAACTATGAACCACGGACATGAACAATGGTGTGGGGATTGCCTGAGGGAGTTGGGGGTGCTGGGTGGAGAGGGGTAAAGGTGGAAAAATGGAGACAACTGTTAATAGCATAATTAATAAAATATAATTAAAAAATAAAAATGTAAAATCCATTTTCATTTTTAGCCCACAGCTCATACAAAAACTGACCATGGCTGGCTTTGGCCCATGGCTTGTAATTTGCTGGCCCCTGGATTAAAATGTAAAATTGCATGGAGAAAGTATTCACTTTTCTCACCTGGCCTATGTCTTTGAGTTTTTCCAATGTGGGTTTTTCCAATGACCCTGAGAGGCCAAAAAGCCACCTGGAGCGGGGACAGAGGAAGGAGCCCCATGAGAACCTGTGGCGCAGGGGCTGGCCAGTTGCCTGGGCCTGGTCCCCTTTGGTTCCCTGCCTGCAGCCAGACTGGTGCTGACTCTGGATTGGCCAGCCACCCCCACCTTGTGCCCCAGCTCTAGTGCTGACAGTCTCACCTGTTTATTTCAGAGAACAGCCTGAGCCAAGGTGGGAAGGAGGCTGGGACTCGACAGCCTTTGGTGATTCTCTTGGGCTGGGGTGGCTGCTCCGACAAGAACCTTGCCAAGTATAGTGCCATCTACCACAAAAGGGTGAGTACTGCAAGCTGCCGACACCTGGCGCGCTGGGGCCCTGCCACCTGTGTCTGCTCTAAGGGGGATTGAGGGCGGTTCTGAGTCTTGGCTGCCCTCGTCTCTAGGCTGCAGTGAAGGCTGGTCTGGGAATGGCACCAAGACGGCCTGTGATGAAGATGCTGGCATCATGGGGACTTTGGCAGGATTATCCCCACTTTGCTGTCACCTCCGAGGCCTGGGCTGTCCCCTTCAGCCCCCTGACCTGCTTCCCCTTCCTTCCTCCCCACATCCTGCAGTGGGCAGCCCAGCTCAGATGTGCTCCCAGCTGTGGAGTCAGCCCAGACCTCAAGTTTCTGTTGGCTGGATACGGCCTGTCTGGGCAGCAGGAACCTGGGCCAGCTGTGCTGGGCATGACCTGTCCTCCCAGGACTTTCTCCATTTCTGACCAGATGAGGTTCTGTCTTGGGGTTGACCATGGCCCCTTCACTTTCCCAGAGTAGAAGGACCTCTTGGAGAAGAGATTCAGGCTTGAGGTTTCCTTGCTGCATCTCTGGCTGCACCACGAGTTGGATGTGGAGGTTGTGGTAATTAGTGAGAGCCCTTAGGAGGCCCTGGACAGATGGATGTGAAAAAACATATATTTAATAAGTATATATATTTAATTTTTATTTATTGATTTTAGAGAGAGAGAGAGGAAGAGGGAGTGGGAAGGGGGGAGGAGAGAGAAACAAACATCAATTAGTTCCACTTGTTTATGCGTTCATTGGTTGCTTCTCGTATGTGCCCTGACCGGGGATTGAACTTGCAACCTTGGCATATTAGGATGACGCCCTGACCAACTGAGCTACCCTGCCAGGGTGGGCCTGGTTATATTTTGAAAGCCCCTTTCATATCTTTGGCCTCTGGCCCAACCCTGCTCTGCCCTCCTCAACCCAGACCTCCCAAAGCAGAGAGACACCAGTGCAGACTGCCCCAGCTGCCAACTGGGAGCCCTGGACTGAGGAGGAGTAGGCATTTTCTGGGAGAAAGGCCAGCTGGTGCCCCCGCGCCCCCCCACCACCCCGTCCCCAGCATCCCTCCGCTGGCCCATGCCCGCACTGTCTTAGGTGTGTGTGGGCCCTGGAATGGAGAATGGCTGGGAGAAAGGGTAGTTCTGAGCTTAGGCTCCTCACAACCAACGAGGCTGGTCCTCCGGCATTGCCTTTTATAGACTGCCTCACTATATGCAAGCAGTTCAGCTACTTCTGAATTCCACTCGGTGGGCGAGGCTTTTTTGTCTGGCTTCGCCATTAGACAAAGACCCACGAGGACAAGTGGAGGAATAGGAACAGGTGAGTGTGGCTAGAACAGAGGAGGAAATAAAGAGCACCTGCTAAGAGACAAGGCCGAGGAGGGTCCTTAGGAGACTTAAGCAGGGGTGGGAAGTTAGGTTTGTGTTTCTGAGTCCCCTCATTGCAGAGCAGGGGAAGGATGGGAAGGGTCAGGACTGGAGGCCAGCAGATGCTGCGGTTCTGGCTGCGGCAGTTCCTGGGCAGTGGGGGGTGGTTTTTGAGACAAGGAACGCTGGAGGAGAAGCCGTAGGTCCTTGGGTGGATGAGCTCCCCCCAGGGAGTGTGTAGAGGGCAAGGAGAAGAGGGCCTAAGACAGCTCTGAGGAGCCCAGATTTAAAGGAGCGGAGGATGAAGAGGGTCCTGTGAGGACAGGAGGAGTGGCCAAAGAGGGACAGGAAAACCCAGGGAAGTGTGGCGGAGTCTGCAGAGAGTCTTTGGGAAACTGGCCACTGTAGAGGGAGAGAGGGACGTCGCTGAGGCGGAGGCACTGGGAGAGAGGCAAGGGGCACAGCCCCGGGGAAGGCACAGGGCTCCAGGTGGCAGGGCCAGCGGAGGGTCGTCTGGGGAAGGAAGGGGGTGCCTTCACCCTGTGGTGGGGAGGGCAGGATGGGTGTGGAGAAAAGTTCTTCTAGACCCCAAACTCCTAATACTTTATTATGTAAAAAAAATAAAAACACCACATTCCACCACCTAGCGATTGCCTCTATTTACACGTTAGTGTACATCCTTTCAGCTTTTTTCTGTGTATCTTTTCTTCACCTAAATGAGATCAGTACTGAACGTACTGTCGTATGTCCCGCTCTTTTTCAGATTTTGTCTCCACCCTCGCATGTCGATACATTTTCATCTCATCTAGCTTCCAGTCCTTACTGAGACGCTCTAATGGTGCCCAGAGCGTCCTTCACAACTGATTTGCCCAAACAGCATCTAATCCAGGATCAGCCATTGCATCTTGTTCCTTGACCTTCTTTTAAATCTAGAACAGTCCCCGTTTTTCACGATGACAACTTACCGAAGAGCCCAGGCACCAGAGAGTCTGTCTAGGAGCCTGTGATCCCGAATGCGGCGGGAAGGGCAGTGTGGTGGGCACTGAACGGCATCGTGGGATTTGGCCGTTGGGGGGGATGTGACGGCCTTCACAAGAGCAGGGCAGCCGTTCACCGGAGCCGGTGGGAGGGGTGAGGAGGGGGGACAGGGTTAGAGGGGAACATGGTGTAAACCAGGAGCTTTTTTTTTTTAATGTGATTGGTCTGTTTAGGAATCTAGAGAGGAAGAGACTGAAAATACAGAAGAGGTTGGTGAGGAGCGACACAGCAGGGTTCTGCATCCCTGCAGAGATGGAGCGATGGTTGGCTTCCGGGGCGAGAGAAGAGACTAGGATCGGACATGCAGCGAGAGTTCAGTGCAGAGAGAGACCGGACAGTGCGCTGGAGTTCAGGAGGGGCTTCCGGACCCCTGAGTTGCAGACTGTTTCTGAAACCATAGGTGGGACAACCATGGCCAAACAGGCCCCACAGAGACATTTAGCGCTCGGCACAGGGACTTCTAAAAGCACCTGACTGGGGAGGTGGCAGCAGAGATGGCGGGCACCTCGGGAACCAACAAGTGAGGCCCAAACCTCTGGGTGCAGGGAAGCTCAGTGTGTGGGGGCCCTTCACAGGGAGTGTTGGGGGTTCACAGGGTGAGCTCTGTGTACACCCAGGTGGCACATGGATTTAGAGGGACACTGTGTGTGCCCTCAAAGATGGTGCATCCACAGGAATTGCTGAGCTTAGGTCTGAACCATCAGGTAGCTCTGCATGCGAATGCCCCTGGGGAGTAGGTGTGTGTGTGCACACGCGCAGACATGCACTCAACTCAAGGCAGTGCAGCGTGAAAGTGTGTACTCACCAGTGGTATGTGTGCGTGTGGGTGTGTGCTGGCAGCTCTGTTTTTTGTTCAGTCACAGGCAGTGGGTACAGTGGGTGCACCCCAGTGAGTGGCAGGCGCCTTGGGTGTCTGCATCTGTGGGCTGTGAGGTGGATGGGCACTGTTTAGTCCGGGAGTGGTGTGTGTGGTTGTGCGAGGGAGTGTGTTTGCATTGGTGGGCAGTGCTGTGCGTGGGTTGGGGCTGGGTGGGAAGACATTTCCCATCCTCCTGGGGAGTGAGAGTAGAACACTCTGTGAGATTTCCAGAGCCAAGGGGCCAGGTGACATCAGTGTCCCCCTCTGCAGTCTTGGGAGGGGTGCTTAGGTATGCCGGGGCCTCGGTAAGAGCAGCAGGGCAGCTGTCAGATTGGAGTGATGCAGTGAGGGATTGCCTCAGCTGACCAGCCTTGTTTGGCTATGGGCCATTCAAGTAGTGGCCTTTGTTATTCCTCCTGCCATCACTAATTACTGCCACTATTAATCAGGAGTTTACTTTGTGCCAGGTGCTGAGTAGTAGACACTTAAGTACATTTTTTCATTTTGTTTTCACCATAACCCTATGAGATGGATGGAGACACAGACTCAGAAAGATGAAGTAAGTTGCTCTTTGTCCATACCGTTAATAAGTGGTGTTGGGAATGGAACCCAGCCCTGGGAACCCAGCACTGTCTGACTCTAGAGCCTGCCCAATTCTGAGTCCCCTAACAAAGGGCCCTTAGTCTCCCGAACAGGCTAATTAGACGTGGCTTTGGCCTCCTTTTCTAACCGGCCTAGAAGGGGATCTGTCTGGAGACTTTGAGGAGTACTTGACTTAGGTATTGAGGGGTACAGAAACCTAGAGAGAATTTGGCTCAGATTTTAGAATTTGAGGAACAACAGTGTTTACTACTTATGGAATTTCAGGGTAAGTGGGAGGAGTGATCCCAGGCCTTGGAACCAGATTTGGGTGCTAGGAGCCTGATGCCAGAAAGCATGGACTACTCTCAGGGCCGAAGAGAAGGTAGCAGTGGCCAGAGACACATGATGCGGGTCTGGCTCACGAGTGGCCTCTGGTGGTCAAGGCGGGGGTCTGCAGGGTCTTATGGGGGTAACTCCTTGTGCCTGGGAGGCAGGGACAGTGCGGAGGGGAGTCACTGCAGCAGGGTGTAGCCAAGCAGGGAGGCCTTAAAAGTGTCAGAGTTGAGCCGATGAGGATGTGAGGTTACAGGTGTGAGGGAGACTGGAAGTGGACCAGAGTGAGGAGACTGCCTTCTGGTCAGCCTGGATGTCTCCAAAGCATGCTCTGGGTGCCAGGCCTCACATACCATCCTGGGCTGAGGGGGCTTGGCCAGCGATTATTCTACAGCTTTCCGCTCCGGAAGGCACGGTGTCTGTGAGTGGTAAGCTGGTGCCCAGGCTGCAGCAGGCCTGGAGTACTGGTGAGGCTTCTGGGCCTGAGGAAGTTGGAGCTGCTGGACCCCTCTGACCTTAGCTTGTCCCTACCCCCATCCCTGAGGATCAGTCAGGTCTCTCTCCTCTCCTTAGGGCTGTATCGTGATCCGATACACAGCTCCGTGGCACATGGTCTTCTTCTCCGAGTCCCTGGGCATCCCTTCACTTCGTGTTTTGGCCCAGAAGCTGCTTGATCTCCTCTTTGATTATGAGGTAGAGAAGGAACCCCTGCTCTTCCATGTCTTCAGCAACGCCGGTGCCATGCTGTACCGATACGTGTTGGAGCTCCTGCAGACCCATCGACGCTTCTGCCACCTGCGTGTGGTGGGCACCATCTTTGACAGCGGTCCTGGTGATAGCAACCTGGTGGGGGCTCTGCGGGCCCTGGCAGCCATCCTGGAGCACCGGCCTGCCGCACTGCGCCTGCTGCTGCTGGTGGCCTTCACCCTGGTGGCAGTCCTGTTCCACATCCTGCTCGCTCCGCTCACTGCCCTTTTCCACACCCACTTCTATGACAGGCTACTTAACGCAGCCTCTCGCTGGCCCGAGCTCTACCTCTACTCGAGCGCCGATGAGGTGGTCCGGGCTAGGGATGTGGAACGCGTGGTGGAGGCTCGCTTGGCGCACGAGGTCCTGGTGCGCTCGGTGGACTTTGTGTCATCTGCCCATGTCAGCCACCTCCGTGACTACCCCACCTACTACACGAGCCTCTGCATTGACTTCATGCGAAGCTGTGTCCACTGCTGAGATCCTTGTCCCACCCACCTCACGTCTGTTCCAGAAATAAATGCCTGACACCTCCCTATAGCCTGTATCCATGAGTGGGGTCCTCTTCTGGTTAGATTCCCTTTGGGGCTTTGAGGTCCCCCAGGCAGAGAATTCCCTTGGACCCCTGTCCTGGGGGACTGTGGTGGTTGCTTATCCCAGGATCCTAGGGGGTGGGAGTCCCTGGGCATGTCTCTGGGGGAGCCTGGCGGTGGTTGTGTTTGGTCTAGTGTAGCTGTCAGGCTGCTAATTCCTGTGGCATTTAGGCCGATGGGTTTGACCAAGTGCAGGTGGGGGCTGATAATGAGCCCCAGCGTTCATCTCTGATTCCTCGAATGGAAAGTGAGCTTTGTGAGGAGGTGCCAGAGGGCAGGATCAGGCTGGGGCAGGTGCTGTGATCTCTGCTCCAAGTTCCTGGAAGGGCAAAACCCGGAGGCATGAAGTGCCATCCCCGTGGATGCCTCTTGGCGTTTCATGCAGAGACTTCTCCAACCTCACTGCTGGGGAGTCTGAGGCAGAAGTTGGATGGGGAGCTGAGGGTGCAGAGGTGGTGAGCCTGCCCAGGTCCACACTTTTCCAGGAAGCCACTGGATCCAGGGAGGTTGCAAAGTGTGTGTGTGATGGGCAGATGGAGTGGGAGCAGAAGGAAGACAGCAGTGCCATGTGGGAGCTGGGGCAGGTGAAGCCAGGAGCCTGGAAGACCAGCACCAGGGCTGGGGCCGTTTGGCTGAAACATCAAACTCCCTCATCTCCGTGACGGGGTCCCACTTGGATCCTTTCTGGGCTGGAGTGGTGGCTCTAGCCTTAGAATTCTGTATCCTCTGTCATTCCACAAGTGCCTGCTCCACAGTGTTGGCACAAAATAGGCATTCAGGAACTCTGTTGATCGAATGAGTGTACTGTGGTGATCGAAGGACTTGGGGGCGGTGATGAGCTTTGAGAGTTTGACAGGCAGTGGAGGAGATGGCTGGAAAATCTGAGGGAGGGAGCTGAGTCCTGATATTCTCAGGGCTTGTGGACCCTCTGGGAGCTCTATTTGCATGGAGTCAGTCCACCTGGCCCTCTGGGGGCTTGACAGCTGAGTCCTAGGCTGTGTGGCTGCATTCCTAGCCATGGCCAACAGGTGGCAGTGCTGCCTGTGCCATGAGTCGGAGATGGCGAATCCCACAGCACCCGAGCTTCAGGCCCTCACTCTTGGAGAGCATATGGCTCTAGGGTGGGAGTAACCAGCCATGAAAGACCTACTAAGTCCAAGGCAGGGAGAAGGGAGAGTGGAGACCTGAACTGAGCCTGCCTGATGGGAACTGGTCATTACCTGCTTGTCTTCCAAACCCTTAGCATCACTGTGGCTCTTCCACCTGGACAGGCCACGTACTTTCCCGTAGAATGGCTGGTCTCAGGATCCTTGTGTTCAGGCTGTTTGGAGCCATCAAACTGGGCATGGAGCTGTGATGGGCCTCTGCTGGGCTTCAACTGGGGTGATTTGTCACTGGGCACAGGAGGTGGGCGCTGCCGACTGGAATGTGCACTGTGGGCATCCCAGAGATCGGTGTATGTGAGGCATGGGATTTGGGAAGCTAGAGGGTGGACCTGGCATGTGAGGATTTGTAAGAAAAAGGAGCCTGGAGTTACGGAGATACTCTGGGGTCTTGAATTTTAGAGTATTTCCTAAAAACAAGCTTTCTGTGGTGGGTGAGTACACACCTGTGGCTTTGAGCACTGCCTGACCAAGCCCTTGGATGCTCATCGCTCTGGCAGTGGGCAGCCGTGGGGACGGCGACCTGACAAAGAAAGCATCATTTCCAGTGCCGGCTGCCCAGCCATGGTTGCCTGACTTGAGGGTCCGCCTTGGATTATAGAGGTTTCTACTGTTTCCACTTGGGGTTCCAGGCAGTAGCAATACTCGGCTACTGGTCACTGGGTTGGAGAACAGAAGCAAGCCACAAGAGTGCTAAGATGGAGGTTCCGCCTTTGGTCCCTGGCTTGTTTCAGGGGACTAGAAAGGGTCGGAGGCTTGGGGCTTGCGTTTTCACCTGCCCTATACTGGGGGCTAGAGCTTGCATCCCCTCTGCATCCCCAAGCTCTGACCTCTTCTGTGATTAATGAGCTGACGATTCCACATCAATAAAGAATTAACCTGTAGCCCCCACCCATCAATAGTCAGGAGTCTAGGTCCCCAGCCCCACCCCCCACCCCAATGTAGTGCTCCAGGGTCCCTGAACAGACCAACCCCACTGTTTCCACACCCATAGCCAAGTCCTTTCCCCTATACTGCTGCCAGGAATTAACCCCTTAACTGCCTCCATTCATGCCCCCTCAGCACCCCCACCTCTACACACAAACACACAGGCAGCAGCTGTTTATATTGGTTTAATCCATGTCAAATGTAGTTTACAAAGGGAAAGGACAAGTACCTTTGTATAGAATATACAGACACAGCATCACACCATGGGGCCCAGGGGCGGGGCAGGGAGGCAGCACTTCTCCCTGGGAACAGCAGCTCTAATCCCAGGAGTGGTTCTTAGCACGAGGCTGGGCAGGCGGGAGCACCCTCATCCACCCCCAATCTCAGCCCCTGCTGTAGCTCGGTTCCCATTTCTGTACCTCCCCTGTTCCCAACTCCTTACAAAGAGCCCCAGGAGCTAACACTAAGGAGAGGGTCATGTCCCTTGGGGCATGTGCCCCATGTCTGGGAGAAGAAATATACACCACTGAACACCGAGCACATGGGAGAGGGAAGGGACACTGTGGGAAAGGGAGAGGCAGGCACCCCAAGAGGTGGATGGGCCGAGCCCCCAGCCAGCCCTGAAGGAGGCACCGCTTCCAGGTGTTCTTAAAAAAAGAAGAAAATCATACAACCGAAGGAGAGGGGAGGTATGGGTAAGGAGTTACCCCATTTATACACAACATTGTAAACATACACGGTCTATATTACATGTGCTTCAGTCTGGTGTTTGCATGTCTGTCTGTCTGTCAGTCCGTCTGTGGGCAGGATATCAGGAGCCTTGCCCTGCTACACCTACCTGCCCCACCCTGGGAACAGAACCTGGAATAGGTATGGTCCCCAATTTTGGTGGGAGCCAGCAGGCAGGGTGCAGGCCTCAGCCTCCACTCTGGCTCCAGAGGCCTGTGTGTGTGTGCGCGTGCGCGCGGGTATGTACATGGGGAACCTGTGTGCAAGTATGTACAAGGGACAGGGTCACATCACAGAGGCAGGCGGGGCTGCTTGAGACAAGGCCTGCCTGGGGTGGCTAGCTCACAAGTAGATTCTCCGCAGGTCTCCGGGAGCTGTGATAGTGTTGCACTGAGGGCAGAGCTTCTTGGCACCCTGCAGGGAGAACAGGCAGGGCTTTGGTCACGCACCTGGAGCCGCATGTTCGCTCATGTGAGCACCCAGGCCTGGACCAGTTGTGTGCTGGGACCTCGGTCCTGTCGGCCGAGGCTGGGGATGCACGGCGGCCTCTGTGAGCAGGCAGGCAGGCCCGCTCCTGTGTTGGGGGGATGCCAGGATCAAACCGCCTGGCCAGCCCCGCAGCAGGAGCCCCAGTAATGAGAACAAGGCTGGGTCCAGCTGTGGCTGCTGCGGCCCTAACAAGATTACATGCGGCCTTTGATCAGGACACAGAGCCCACGTCCGGGCCTTTTATTGCTGTCTCCGGGCGACATTTTAATGGCTGCTCCCGCACGCGAAGAACAGGGGCAGGAGCAGAGGGAGCATAGTAATGGGAGGGGGAGGGGCTGAGGCCCTGGTCCTGCTTACCCACACCCAGCCTCCCCGACCCGGGATCTCACCAATGTGTGTGACACAGTGGGCCTTGGGGGGTGCAGTGTGGGCAGGGGGAAAGGAGCAGGCAGTGAACCCACAGAGGGGGAGGGCAAGAATGTGGTGAGCCTGGGGAGGGGGGATCCTGGCTTTTGGCTGTGTTCTATGCTCCTAACCCCTCTTGCCCCTCCTCATCCCACTCCCAAAGCAGGCTCACACATAAGCAAGGACATCTGGGCGGTACCCAAAACAGCCACCCACGCTCCAGTCCCCGTGCTGCCTCACCAGGGTCCGCAGCCAGCACTCCTCGCAGTGCACGTGCCAACACTGGATGGACGTTAGGGGCATCGAGTATGCGTCCTAGGGAGGAGGTGGGCAGAGAATGGGTCACACTGAAGCCCACCCTCTCAAGGTCTTATCACACAGCGCAGAGACCCTCTCCAACCCCCAGGGGGCACTCAAACCTGACCAAGGGCACCCGTAGGTTCCCTCCTCTCACCATGCAGATGAGGCATTTGTAACGGTCCCCTCGGGATAGCTGCCGTTCAAGTTCCCTGACCCGAGCCTTCAGGGCCTCAAACGTGGTCACAGCCGAATCTTCGGTTATTCTGTAAAGAGGACAGCATAGTTGGGCAGGCACCTCCCTTGGATTCTAGACCCACATATACAAGTATCTCTCAGATACCCCTGCCCCCCACCTGCTCATATCCTGTATCTGCACACTCCACGTTCCAGAAGTGAATTCCTTACCCTCCTTCCTGGTGAATTTCTAAACAGGACACCTGGGAATCATTCTCAAACCATTCCTGCCTGAAACCATCCCTGTTATCCTTGACATCCAAAATTGGTCATGTAGTTCTTAGTAACTCTGGAATCTCTTCACTTCTTACCATCTCTGCCATCATGGCTTCTTTGTCTCCAGTCCCCTTACGCCACTCTGTTCTTTAGCACTAGATTTTGACAAATTTGACCATTTCTATTTCCAAGAGTTCAATGTCTCCCTAAAAGTAAAGCTCTACCAAACTCCTCAAAAACTTACAAGGGCCTCCTTGGTCCACCCCCAGACAGCCACATCTCTCAGCACCCTGCCACACACACAAGTTAAGCTCTATCCACACTGGAATGCTTTCTCCACACACACCACTGTTTTCTGTTCCCTTGGCCTAGGCCCCTTCTGCTCCCTCTGGATCATCCCTACCTCCTGACTTTCCAGTGCCATCTCATGGTTCAGGCCTAGCCTACCTCTTCCCATAAGCCTTTTCCAACTCTCCAACCAGCACCACCATTGGTGGCTGCCTCTTCTGTGCTCGTCCAGCCCCCTGTACTGGATTCTACCACTGGATTCTATAGTTACAGCAATGTAACTATAAATGTCTTTGTCTCTGCTAGACTCAGTTCCCTGCAAGCTGCTCATTCCAGGAATATTGACTATGGCCATTAGCTCCACACTAGGCATGTGAGTATGAGTAAACATTTGCTGAATAAAGAACTAGTCCAAACCCCAGGGAGAGGGACAGATGGGGGAATGGATTAGTCCCACATAATCCAGGCCACTGGGGTACAGGCCTAGCCTGCCTCAAGGGCTCCTTGCTGTATCTTCCAAGGCACATCACATGCCCTAGCAGCCCCCACTTGCTGTCCAAGCACCACACAAGAAGGTCCCTACAACCCCTTGAAGACTCTGGGCTGCAACACTGAACAGGGAACAGCTAGGACTGTCTCAAGGAGCGATCCCTCCCACCTCTCCTAGAATAAGTGAACAAAACCTAGAGGAGCTCAGAGGGAGAAGAATGCTTCCTGGAGGAACAGAAAAGAAGGTACTAGACAGGGACCTTAGGGAATAATAATGAATGATAATACAGGTAAAAGAGCTAAAATTTATTAAGCACTTACTAAATGCCAGGGATTATACTGAGGGACTAAAAATCATTTTATTTACCTCACAAAAACCCCACGAGGGGACTACAATATTCTCATTTTATACAGAAAGAAACTAAAGCAGAACAGAAACATTACGTAGCTTGCCCATGGTTCACAGAGTGGGGGAGATGGGATTTAAACCCCAGCAGACTGATTCTGCGACCAACCAGTAGCTGTGTGCCTGACCACCATTCTACATAGACGAGACCCAAGAGGAGACGGCTCTCCAGGCCGAGGGAACTAGGAACAAAGGCCAAAAGGTCCAAGAGCCCCACCTGGCTGGAAGGCACACCTGTGGGTAAGCAGAAGGTGCTCAAGTGGGAAAGGAGACTAGCTGGGAAGACGCTGGATGCCACAATCGGAAGACAGTGAAGTTTACCTTACAGGCAGCGAGCAGTTGTGAGGACACTGGCAGAGGGCTATGACAGGGTGAGAGCTGAGATTTAGCGGGTCTATACAATCAGGAGGCCAAGAGTGGTCTGAGGTGGACTCAGGACAGTGGTCTGCCACAGGCAGGGACGACCTTCCAAAGGTAGCCTGTTCTGCCAGCGTGTGGTGGACAGCTGACTCCGAAAGCTGGAAAGCTTACAGGTGGTGTATCTTTGCTGGGTGTGTTAGTGGTAATGGGGGGTGCAGGGAGGATGGTGGGTAACATTCCACAGACAGTAACACTTCGATCTCTGAGCTCTCTCTTTCAGGATACCAGCAACAACGTGACTTCCCTGATGGCTGTGTCCCTTTATCAGGGATGCTCTAGATTCATCACTCCAGGGGCCCATGACTCTCTCTGCCCTGCCTCTCCCCAGAGAAGCTCAGAGAGGCTCTGGATGACTCCCTGGGAGCACCCATTCAACTTTCCAGGTCTGGAAACCCTCACCACCCCTTCTCTCCTTATGAGCACCTGCCCTCCTCTGGCATTTTGCCCAATGCCATATGTACCATCCCCATCTGGACAGCTATTAATTTTCGACAAGGAGACAAGATGGGTAGTCCCTCCAAGGACCAGACTGGGCATGAGCCTAGTCCTATGTGGTTATTTCAGAGATGGGGAAACTAAGGCATGGAGCTGGGGGCAGCTAACCCCAGAGCAGAAAACTAACTCTTAAACCCCAAGCCAGACAATGAGCTAAAATTGGGAAGGCAGAAAGGATGGGGCCAGGAGAGAATGAAGCCATTCTGCTGAATGGCTACCCGCCCCCGAACCAGGGGCCATCCCCCAAAGGTTCAAGGCCACATCTAACTCCAGAGTCCATCCTATCCTGGATTTGCTCAGCATACACCAGGCCTCTCTGCCTCCAGCCCAACTTACACTGGTTGTGAGCTATTCCTGAGCCCCTCCAGGGCACAGGGTGGAGAATTTCCTAGAAGCCATGGCATCCTGCCTGCCTCCTTCCCTGGGCGGTGAAACACATATAGGGCGGGAAACGGTACCTTGTACGAGGGAAGGTCATGGGAACTAAAAGGCCCCGATCTCCGCAGACCCAGATCCAATGACGTTGCCAGTCCCCAACTTGTCCCAGAGCCATGCCTACTGGTGCCGGTGCTCACACAGGTGGGGCAGCAGTCCCGACTCCCCCCAGCCTTGGGTGGGTAGTGCCTTCATGGATGGCCACTGGCTCTGGCCCCCACCTCCCCTTTGGGCGCCATCCCTGATTAATGATCTTGTCTTTCTGATTTATGAGCAGCCCCTTCAGACGAGGGCGGGCGCCCCTTATGGCCCCGCCCGCCCCGCTCAGCTGGAGTAGGAGAGAATTATTAAATAAACATCCATACGTCATTCCTTCCCCCTCCCCAAGCTGGTTGCGCCGAACCCGTGCGGCCCGCTCCAGCGCTGACACAGAGCAGCTGCGGTGATTCATGGGCAGCCGGGCCCTGCGCTGCGGCCCATACATCATGCCAGCAGCACTCGCGGTCCCGGCCGAGATAAACTGATCAACCACAACGGGCTGGAATGAATTTATGACAACACAAAATGGAGGGAAACAAATGGGAGGTGACCCTGGGCCACCGACCCGGCCCTGCACTGGCCTGCAATCCACTCTCCTGGCAGGAGGCAAGATGGAACACTGGTCCTGGGATGAAGAGGCTGCCTTTAACCCTAGGCAACCTAGCCTCCAGTGGAGGGTGGGATGGGTGTGAAGAGTTAAGTGATGGCCAAAGGCAGCAGTTCCAAGCGCCCTGAACTGGACAATGCCAACTCCTGGGGCTAGAACTGGCTCATGCTTGTGCTTGTGAAAAGGCAATTAGGTGCTCAGCTCACTTCAAGTCCTTGTGGCTCGTGGGGATTCGGGCCAGGGACTGCCCAGCCTGGGTGAAGCGTTAAGGGATCCCCTCTTCCCCTGCCAGAGAACCCAGGTCAAAAATTCCAACCAGAAGTGATGAGACCCAATGTTCCTGCCTAAAACCCACTGCGAGCACCACCCGGGACAAGAAAAATGAAACCAATTTAGCTCCCGATTAAGAAACAGAAACTGGAGATGAATCAAGTGTGCCGGCTGGGCTGGGTGGCCATACATCACATTCCCTGGGTGGAGGCCGCGGAGCAGGCGAGCAGGCGAGCAGGCAGGCAGGCAAACTGCTCTTCCTCCGTCAAGGCTTCAGGGCCGTGTCCCAGTGATCAATTCAGAGAGTCATGCTCAGCACCAGCTGGGCTCCACTGTCAGCTGTGTGCCCAGGGCTACAGGACTAAGGGAGGGCCGAGAGCCCTTGGCAGCCCCTTTTCCCACTTAACTGCTGTCCCAGGGGCCTCCCCCCAGGCCACTCACTTCTCAATGTCGCTATTCTTGCAGGTCTTCTGCATGGCCTCCTGCTTGCTGCTCTCCCCGTTGCTGGTAGATGGCATCTCTGTTGGGATAGAGAGGCAACTCATTCTTTGGCCAGACTGGGCATCGCCGGTGAGGGGTTGGGCCTGAGTCAGTCACCACCACCCAAAGGATATTCCCTTTCTCCCGCTACTCCTAACCTGAGTCAGGACTTACCATCACTGGCCCACTTAGAGAACTCAGGTGTGATGCGTGTGCTGGGAGGGCCGCCACTAGAGGAAGGGAAGGAGAAAGAAGGAAGTGAGCCCAGAAGACAGGTGAGCACAGCCCTGAGGGTGGGTATCAGACTGACCCCTGCCCAAGGGCTTTCCGTCCCTCTCCTCTACCCCACTCCCAAACTTGTGCCACACTTGCTTTAGGACTGCGCCCCGGAGTGCCTCTCTCTCCTTGGCTTCACCAGGTTCCTCGCCTGTGCAGGGAATGACGTCAGCCTCTGTGTATCTGGCATGATGGTCAAGGACAAACAGATCCTAGTTTGCAGTAGGCCTTGAGGGTTGAGTGCTGGCCAAAACTGAGATACTGACCCCAGGAAGGGGGGGACAGAGGGTGAGTACCAGATGTGCTACCTACTTTTCTTACTCCCTTTGGCCTTTCCCACCAGCCCCACCTTGCCCCAGAGTGCCCCAAGGATACTGTGGCTTCCCGTACTCCAGAGTGTCGTCCCCATCCACATCCAAGTCGGCATCACTGTCCGGGTTCTCTTTGCCGCTGCACATGACGAAGCCAGAGCCTGTGGGAAGCAGGACGTGAGGAGGATCGAGGGCCAACAAGACTGGGCCAAGGGCCAAGACTGGGTCTGGTTGCCTTTAGCAAAGGGTCAAATTTGGGGCCACATAAGGCCCAGACAGAAGCTCAGGCCTGGGATACAGACAGCCAGGTATTTAGGTGCTCTTGACTTTGATATTTTAGTCCCTTTCACTCTGTAAAACTCATTCTTCTCGGCCACTGCTTATTGGTCCAAGTGGTCTCATGAACTAGCCCACTGAAATACTATGTCAGGCGTCCAGGAGATGCCCAGGCCTGCCGTCTACCTGTCTTCTAAGTTTAAGAGAGCAGGAAGAGGACAGAGATTCAGGTCTTCCAAGATCACCCCACCGAGGACCTTGGCATTCCTTGTGCCCCATGGTCCAGCCTGACAAGTCCATCAGAGGGGAGAGCTAAGGCCAGTCAGAGCCATACAGCGGGACCCTCAGCCAACGTCCTGATTTGGGCTGCCAGGTCCTTGCCAGCAAAAACACCAGGCAGCTGTTCAAATATTTGGTGTCTGAAGCGCCTGACATTAATTATTCATCTCCACCTCACTCAGCCTAGATTCCTGGACAAGTGCAGTTATAAAGGGATTAGGAGGGGACAGACAAGAGGATAGGCACGCACACCTGCCTCTCAAAGCAGTCCATGAAGGCAAGCAGGCAGGGTGGAAGCAGAGACAGGCAGGCGGCTGACCCCACCAAGGTTCAACTGGCCTGGCCACAGGCAGACCCTTGGGACAGTGGGGAGGGAGAGCTGTTGAAGTTACACTAGGCCCCCACACTTTTGTAGTCTGACTCCCAAGACCGCCCTTCCTGATAGCCCAGGGCCAGAGGCTGCAAAACTGCTCCTTTTCCACCCTGGCCTTCTCCCAGTGGTCTTGGACCACTTCTCACAAAGCAGCCCTTCTGGGACAGAAAGAGATGAAAGTGATGGAATCTGTTATGAGTGGAATCAGCAAGGAAATCCTTAAAGAGGTGAGGAAGAACCTCAGAATTCTTTCTGATGATCTCAGAAATTTCTTCTTGTCCTTCCTTTCCACTTAGGTTCTTACACTCTCATCTGGGTAAGTCTTGTAATGGATCCTCAAGCATCTTGTCTGTTCCTTCACCTGGCTTACCATACAGTTCTGACCCTCTTTTCCTAGCTCTAGAACTGACTCTGGCTCCCCACTGCATGCACAACCCAGTCTGGCCCCTTGGCCAGATCCATTAGGATCTTTTATCCTCACTTCACTCCACAAGCCCTATGCATAAGAACAGACTACTTACTGCACCTTAACATAACCCTGTACGTCCTGCTCTTAAGATTTTGCTGATGCTATTCACTCCATTTGGACTGTTTTCCACCTTTCAAGTCCATTTCAAAAGCATTTTCTTTCCAATCTTTCTTCCCCCTTCTATACCTCTGGTCTCTATTCTAACAAAGGTTCCACCTGTCCCAGAGGTAAGCAGCACCAGGAAGAGCAGAGGGCTGGGTATTGTGAGGCTCCACCCATCCCTGACAGTCCTCATTTGCCCTCCACACCAGAGGAACTGACAAGCTCGAGGCAGCAGGCAGGTCAGCAGCAAGGCCATTAAGCTGAGAAAACACCAAGTTACAGCTCTGTCTCCTATTTGCAGCCAGGTGTCCTGACAAGCAATTCCTGCCTTGTGGGTGAGTGGCACCTCTATAAACCCTCTGACAGTTTGGGAGACAAACTCTGCCATCAATCAGAATGTAGCTATCAGGTTCACTTACAGCGTGTGCCCCCGGAGCCTTGCCAACCCCCCTCCCCCAAGTACACACAGTTCAGCAGTCAGCCTCATGTCCTCAGCTCCAGCCTGGCCCTATCCAGCCCTGCCTCTGGGTGGGCAAAAAGGAAATCAAAGAACCCATGGCGAAGCTGAGAAAACAGGGTGCCACAAAGCCCCAGCTTCTCAAGACTTATTTAAAGCAGTCCTGTGGCCTGAAGTCCTCTCCTCTGCAGTCTGCCTGCCCGCCCGCCCGCCAGGCTAGTGCTCCAGCGAAGCACGGTTACTGTAGTTCCCCAAATCCGAGACGTCTTCTCTTGCTCCCGTGCCTTCGTGCCTCCCGTCATTCCTGCCTAGAACCTCGTCTCTCCTGGTCTACAGAACAAACGCCTGCTCATTCTGCCAAGTCTGGCTGGCTCAACCGGGCCTTCTACCATTAATTCATAGTATCTACACACAGTAGTTGTTCTAGAAATACAGGGTCCGGCAGAAGTAACGCTTACTTGAGTGTAGTTGGTAGGGTAATAATATGGGTGTAATAATTTATAGTTTTAATTTGAACATTTCACCTAAAATGTCATGTGGTGTGCTTAACTATGACATTGTTATGTGACAGAATTACATGCTTATGATTTTGTAATAAAAAAAGGAGTTATTTGTACCAGACCCTGTACTTCCTTAAGGAACTCCTACCTCAGTGACATCTTCTAACCTTTAATGAGCTTGCCCTCTCCCTGGCTTGGCACTGAAGATGCAGTTTCAAGATTTGATCGCTAACCTCAAAGGCCGAGTACGGATGAGACGTCCCCAGACAGTTCCATAGGCACTGCTTCCTGTGCAACCCCAAAGTCATGTTTATTACCACGTATCGGCACTGTCCCTGACCAGACTGAAAGCCCAAGTCTGACTCTCTCCCACGGTCTCTGCATCATCCAGCAGAGCTGGCCAGGCCCACAACAGATACCATACAACACACCCAAGCAATATGGGCTGAAATGCTGCTCCACTCGGTCCTGGGAGCCCCATGCTCAAAGGAAGGCCAAGGCCTGAGTAGCTGGTAGCCTGGAGGAACTCTCAGGACCAGTGTTCCCTACCAGCCCCAGCCGAGCTTCTGTTCCTCTGACCAGTCAGGCCAGATGGAGAGCACGGCACACCTTGTTTTCCAAGGAAAAGGCCTGTCTCTGGTCTGAGCTGTTTACTCTGACCCTGCCACCCTCCCCAGTGGAGACAGATTTGGGAGCTTCTCCCTACCCCCACAGGTGTTCAGAACAGGCTGCCTCAGCCTGCTCCCACCTCCTTCCCCAGCACATTAAACTTTATTTTCTTAATGAAATGTCACTTTCTGACTTCTGGCAGAATTATAATAAAAAGAAATGGCCATAAAGCCGTTTTATGCAGACAGTGCCCCTGCCAGCTTGCCTGTCCCCCCCAGCTTTGGGAGGAAGGCTCCACAGTCATTTTATGTTCTCAGCTGCTGGAACATCCCAAGCCAATACTCAGAAGCAAGATGGCACAGGGAGCTCCTTTCTAAGCCTCTGACTCCTGTTCTACTCGGCTTTGGGGGAAAACAGGCAAGCTACCACGCCTGCTGCTGCTGTATCCAGGGAAGGGACTCAGCCCCAGGACCTCCAAGATAACTTGGAGTGCCCTTCAGTCACCAAGGAGGCTCCCTTGCTATGGTTTGGCCCCACCTTAAAGTGGCACAAAGGGCTGGGCTGCTGCCCACAGGCAAACTAAGCCTGCTGGTCAACAGTGCTCGGCAGAGCGGGTTCCAGTCCTGGGAGGGTGGGCAATGCGAACACTCCTGCCAGGTGACAGACAAGGAGAGGGTTAAGGGCAGAAATGACAGGCAAGTCTAAATTTTATGAAAACAACTCTTCTCCCATAAACTCATTTCTTCTCAGGTCATTGAGAAGGGTTAAAAAAATCAGTGTTAATTCAATCAATTGATCAGATAATCGATTGAGAAACTGGAGATGCCCGTTTACTAGGGGCTGTAATGTCCTGGAACCTGAAACCACAAAAAAGGAGCCATTGATTTCCTCACCTACTACTCCCAACAAAACCAGAGCCTAGGGAGAAAGGAAAGTCTTGGGTCCCTCCAGAGGTCTGTGCTTTCCAAAGGGGGGGAGGGGCGCAGGGGCAACAGCTTCCGGAGAGTTTTACACTGGAATTAGTTACAGATGCAGTTACGGTGTCTTGTGTAAACGCCATCGATTGGGGAGCTGACAGTCTGGGGAGCTGCGATGCGGGACAATCAATCGGCCTGCAGTGTCACCTGCCACCTCGCTGAACAGTTGACAATGCAATTATCCAGTGTGGAGGCAGGGAGTTGGCGTGTGTCAAACGCACTTAGCCACTTTCCGGGCCTCCTCGGTAACGCATTTCACTGCCTCACGTCAGGAGAGACGCATAGAGACAGACGCTGTTTAATACCATTGATACTTGCTCCTTCTGCCTGCACTCCCTCTGTCCAGCTTAACAATTGTGTTCCAAAAGGCGATTAAATCCTGTCAGTCGTCACAGGGGACAGAGGTGCCCTGCTCCTTGCCACCGCTCCACCCCTCATACCAGGCAACAGTTATAACTAAAGGCGGTCAGAAGTTCGAAGGCAGTGGCCCTAACCCTCTGCATTCTGAGACTGCCCCCAGCACTGGGCTGTTCCAACACCTGTTACTGATCAGATCAGGCAGCAGGTCTGTGCTGAGGGACGTTTTGAGCACTTGGTGCTCCCATCCTTTGGAAACTGACATGCCAAAGGAGACAGAGCTATTGGGCAAGGCCTTCTTCTCTGTGCTCTTGGGATCACAATACCTCTCACCCCTTTGACTTATAATCTGGCTCTGAAGTTTCATCAAGCAATAGCCAGTTGAAAAATAAATCTGTACGTAAGCTGCCCTGCCTGTCCTCTCCATGACACCTCACCCAGGCTACCTGGAACCAGCCGAAAGCTGTGAGAGCAACTCAAGAAAGATGCAGCTCCTAGGTGAGGATCTGGACAGGGCAGACACCCTGCACAGCTGGTCTTCTGAGTCCCCTCCCTTCCACCTTTTTGATTCAGAGGGGCTCAGTGCTGGATTCTAGCAATGCATTTCCCTTCAGGGTTCAAAGACACAGCCACGGCACCTTCCATTTCCTATGCGACCTCCTGGGAATTTCCTTCATCTTGGCACTCACATGACCACCACATCACTGTCACCTTATCTGAAACCAACCATTCCTGTGTCCTCTCTCCAGCCCATCCATTTCAGATACGGATGATCTCCAGGCTCCTCAAAGCTGTTGAACTTTCCCTGGCAACGAATACAGGGGAAAGATCCAAGCTCACCACCACTCTAAGTCCCCTCTCCAGAACCCAAGAGGTGGCGATGGGCAATAAGGAAAGGTGTGGCTCACTACCACACATCTCCTTTGACTACAGGTAGGCGCAGGTCCACCCCCAAGGGCTGTATGATTAGATTTTCCTGTGGTCTGCTGCTCTAGCCTAGAGGCCCTTTGCTCTGTCCAGGGGAAAGCAGCTGCCCCAGAAGAGCATCTTTTTCTCCTAGTTGCTGAACTCTTTTAGAGAAAAGCTGGGGAAGCACTAGGCTCTGTGTGCATCCCTTCATGCAGTTGTAACTCTGGGCAGGGAGTAACAGCGGTGGGTTAGCAGACCGAAGGTTCTGAGAGGACGATTAATAGCCCAGGGCTTCTAGAGCTGGGAAGGCCAGAGTGTTTCCTAGACACTGAAAGGTTCTTCCAACTTGCTCACTTGACATCTTTACCTATGTCCTTAGTCTCTTAAAAATCTATTTCTAGCTGGATCTATCAATGCTTACCTGTTCTGTCTGGTCCTTCATGTTGCCCTAAAGGACCAAGGCCCAGCACTCCTGGGCCTGAGCTATCTGGGCCTCACCCTCAGTAACCACAGGTCCTATCTCCAAGGCCTGCTCCCCTTAGCCAAGTGTCTCCACCAAAACTCCTGCCTGCACACCGGCTCCACAGCTGATGACATTCTAGGTAACTAACTTGCTCCATCAGACCAGCTCCCAGCGGGCCTACTGGGAAGCTTTGCTGGGGATGACGGAGGGGCCCTGGTCTGGGAGGAGGGGTAAGGGATGATCAGATACAGGAACTTATCTGCAACTCTTCAATTCTTTCATATCTAACAAGGACAGCAATCTCTGTTCTGTCAGCACGCACAGCACAGCTTAAATGGGCCTCACTGCTCGCCCGCTCATCCTGCCTCTGCTCCCTCTCTCTGAAGTCGGCTGGGCAGCCTCTTCAGCCGGCGTTATCACTCCCTCTAACCGGTCTTGGCAGGCAATCTAATTCCTCCTGAAAAGGTCACCGCCATTTTAACTGCCTTTCAATCACATTAAGCACGCGCTGCCCGGCTTGCAGTTGGGCCCGCCCGGCGGGTGATCAATGCGATGCACTGACACCAGCCCGCCTGGCAGGGCCACACCCAGCCCCCAGAGTTGGGGGCTACTGGTCCTGGCCAGGGAGGGTAAACTGACAGATGGTCAGCTTCTGCAGACAAGGTTGCAGGACAGAGGCAGTCCGGATCATCCAGGGCTGGCTTTGATAGCCACCCCCGACTGCCACTCCACGGAGGAGCCTCAGCCTCCTCTGCTCTGCTGCGCCCAGCTCTCTGCCTTGTGGCTCCTGCTGATCTCACTGTAAAACAGCCTTTCAAGTCTGCCTGTCTTTTGACTGCACTAAGCTGTTTAAGAGGCGGCAGCAGCTTCTATCAGGAAAGCCGGAGCAATTCTCTGCAGATAAAGGCACCTCCGGCCCCTGTTCCCTCTTCAAGTCTCACTCTCATTCTCGCTCTCCAAATCGCTCAAAGAAAAGCCCCCTTTGAACTCCCCTCAGGAATTCTTGAAAGGAACAACCTCACAGTGTAAACACTCAGGGAAAACTGACACCCGCCCAGGGCCTAAGAGGCCCCTCAGACCCGTTCTGCCAGTGCATCCCAGCACAGGGGAGATACTGTGTCAGATCGTCAGGCCCTGCGCGGCTTTATCCTCCTTAAGCCCTGTCTGGTGCCCAGAGCCGTCAGGTCCAGTTCTGTGCCAAGAAACCCAAGAAGTTGCCACAGCAATGGAAGATATTACTATCTACAGCAGCCAACAGAGTGAACCCTGAGCAGCACCGTGGAACTGACCCTGCATGGGCTGCCACCTGTGTGATAGTCACAGGGTGCTGGGCTTTGCTCTTCTCCTTCCAGGGCCTCAGATGCTCTAAAACTCTAGGGCAAGACCAGAGGGAAATGGTAAACAGATATCCCACAGTTCGGCACTTAGGCTTGGGAACCAGTTTAATCTGATCAACCTTCCTGATTCATACTTTGGCTTGTCCTGAAACACTTGGGTAAAGTGAGAGAAGCCAAAAGGCGTAACGCTCCACTTGGGCATGGGGCCCTTTGTGCAGCTGGTCTGTACTGGACAGCACTGCGAAGACCATGCCTCAGCACCACCCCCAAGAGCAGGACCCCAAAGAGGCAGAGACCCCCTTCCCAGTTGCTATGAGATGCCCCAGAGACCAGACACAGCAGTCTTCCCAAGGGTGATGCCCAGAGAACTGGAAGCAGATGGCAAGCAGGCTGTCTCACTTAATGACCACAAGCTGCAGTGCCAGCTGTGCTTGCACACATAAAGAAAAGCGGGAGGCCAGGAGGCAGACAGATCTCTCTTCCCCTGCCTAAGGCAGGAGAGTTTGACAAGAGGACAGTGACCCTGGGCACCCAACTAGTCTGCTGTCTGACCTGGTGTGAGTGGGGGACTTCTACTGGCCCATGCCATATCCCCCCAAGGAGCTGGGAGGGCAATGGAGCCAGGCAGGGCCCTGAAGACCTCTCTGCAGCAACTGGGGAGAGCCCAAGGGAAGCAGGGAGCAGCTGGGCCCAGGCTCCTCTTGCTTCAGGGCAGAGGGGCCCATGGAGAAGGGATGGGATCAGAGCTAAAATTAAATTCACCAATGAAGCTCATGGGAGGTCAAATTTTGCCATAACTCACTCTCTCCTCTGTAACTGATTTCTCTGGTCAGAGGAGGAGGAGGAGGAGGAGGAGGAGGAGGAGGGGGAGAATCCAATGTGTTTGCCTGGAAGCCCTCCGGGCCCCTAGTGCTGGAGGTGTACAGCAGGTTGCTGGATTCTCATTTATCAGCCTTAAGAGGGATGGAGTGATAAATGCATAACTGTCCCTTTAATATTTTATGCAGGTGCTAACGTGGCTTGGCTGTCACCTTCAATGCATCACCCGAGGCCGAGAGCCCCCCTCGTCACTCCTAGCTCGCAGCCTCACAATTCCATTTCCCCACCCAAATACTCCCATTTTAATATGCACATCACAGGCAGGCAGCACAGTCACAAAGCAGCTCTGCCAGCAGCAGTTCCCATGTGGTGGGACGGATGACCAACCCCCAGCCCCGGCCTCCTGGCTCCCAACAGATGGATACCCAGCACAGGCCTGGCCACCAGAGTGCCACTGCCTATGTGTCAGCTGCTTGTACCTCGGAAACCACCTTCCAGGAGAGTGGTAGCCCGTATCCGCTTCTGCCCACACCACTCATATTCCTCAAAGCGGTTGCTGTTCTCATGCTCGATGTCCACGGAATCATCCTCAGCCATGCAGGAACTTTCCCTCTGTGAAGAGCAGAGCAGGATTCATGTGGGTCCCAGGCCATCCCTACCTGTCCCCCAAGGCCTGCAAGGAAGGCACAGCCCTGGCCCCCAGGTGTGGTGTGCCAACCCCAGCTCTAGGGCTCCTGTGAAGTAAACCAATCTAGAGGTCAAAGACCTGGACCTCTTCCCAATCATTTTCCACTGGAGCCCCAGGGAAAGAGTGAGTGAGTGAAAGCAAAGGAAGAGAGCAAAGAACGGAGAGGAAAAAGCTGCTGAGACCACACAGAGACCCCAATAGCCCATAGATCTGGGGGTAGTCGGCAGCCAGGTTCAGGGGAGGGGGAGCGATGGGGGAGGATAAGTGGTGATGGCCCCTCTACCTTAGAAAGGCAATGCTCCACATGCCTACTCATCTCCTGCTCCGATCCTGCCAGGGGGCGGTTGCACAGGGGACATACCTGCCCTTCATCTTGCTTCCTCCGTTTCATTTTCCCAATCCGAGCTGCATGGAAAAACCGAAAACAAAGCACAGAACAGGCAGACGGTCACTGTAGCTCCCAGGGTTGCAGTGGAGCTGATACAGCCTGACCTCCTGCCAGCCATCAGCCCCTTTGTTCAGGGCCTGGTCTTACTCTCATTATGCAGCACCTTCTTCTCCTTTTGGGACTGGGACTTGCCAAAAGCACCTGCAGAGGAGAGTGGAGCTGGGCCAGTGAAGTACCTACTCTGGCCACAGCTGGCTCAAGCTCAACTGTACCTTCCTACCTGCAGAATTCAAGGAGTCCAATGAGCAGACATTCCATGTTGCTTGGTATCTCCCTAGAAGGTCAAGACCATGGGCTCTTTTGATGTCAAGATAGCCAGGGGTCTGATGTGGCCTATTTTTCACTTGTGATAAAACACCCTTTGTTCCTGGGCCAAGAGCCCTTAAGTGTCTTAGTTAGAGTCATCCCAGGAAGGATTTCTCTTATGTCCACTGGTCCATTTTACAGAAGAGGAGACTGAGGCCCAGTCATAAAGATATGGAGAGTCTGAGTCAGAAAGCCCACGGTACCTTGACAGGGCAGCCCTCCCTGTGCGTACCCAAACCTGTTCCATCATTCCTAATCAGCGCAGAGGGACTGGCAAGCCCGTGAGGCAGAGGGCTGCCTGCCATGCTGTCCCGCAGGGGGCTCAATTCCAAAGTGCACACTGCAAGCCCACAGCACTCCTAATTAATGCTGAGAGATGCAATCATTTCTAATTAGCTCACTAATCTCTCTCTGCAGCCCTCCTGTCACTGAAGCAGGAAGGGGTCAAAAGAAGGGACTCTTCCCTCTCGCCCCTCCCTGGATGCAACAGCAGAAGCGGAGTTAGCCACTCTGAGATCAGATGGACTGGGGTGAGGATACGGGGAGGTAGTCAAGGAGGGAAAGGTTCCCTGCAGCAGGCCAGAAAGAACTTTCTCATGGGCACTGGCCCTGGGGGAAGCTTGTGAGTGCACTTTAGGGAGGGGGACACAGGTAAGAGGTGACACAGGTGGAAAATGATTGTTGCTATTTAGAACCTCAACCGTGTTAGGCTCAGGGACAAACACCTCACACAACATAGTTCACTTAATTCTGTATCCTGAAAGTATGGTGCATTATCCATTTTAACAGATGAAGAAACTCAAGACTCACAGAGATCAAGGAACTTTTCAAGTAGTGAAAAAGGGACAAAGGCAGAATAAGAAACCATAGCTTAGAATGTTCTCCTGTCCTAAGGGTCCCTTTAACTGGTCAGCATCAACAAACATTGATCCTGTAAGTGGGCTAGGGCAGTAAGAATATGCACTTGGGGCCCAGCTCCCGTTTGCTGAAGGCCTGAGGCAGGGAGCGATTCCAACTCCAACCCAGAGTTGTCCCAGAAAGACCCAAATCAATAGGAAGGCCACTATCCCATTAGGACTGAGCATGGAGCTTGAGAAACTCTGGTCTGCAGCCTGGCCCATCTCTTCAATCTCCTGTGCTTTTGCTATAGGAGATGTGGTCATGTGCTGGTGCTCCACCTGATTTTGTGGACAGAGATCTAGATTCCTCTGCCTTGACTGCTCCAGCCCTTGGAATCTCAGGTTCAAGACACCTTAACACTCTAGACCAATGATTTTCAACTGGTGTGCCGTAAGAATTTTTAAAACACGCAGTACCTATTTAGTCAGGGGCACTGACCTCTTTTCCTTAGGCTGTTATTAAATTAAAAAGACCACAGCCAATACAATAGCTCTCTGATGTGAATGAATCAAAATTATACTGATTTTTTGTCAGATCAGCAAAAAATATATTTTTTTGGTGTGCCACAGAAGTTTAGTAACAGTTTATATATGCCATGAACTGGAAAAGGTTGAAAACCGCTGCTTTAGAGCCAGGACTGGGCTGGAGAAGGGATGCTAGATATCAGGAAGCTACGGAGCAAGGGACCCCCAGAGTGCCAGAAGCCTGTAGCAAGCAGTGCGAGAATATAAAGGTTCCTCATCTGTCCTGCCTAGAGCCCAAGGAAGTGCCTCCCTGTAGGAGGAGGACTATGATAAACACTGCCTGATGACGGAATAAGGAAATGAGTCTCACAGAATTGCCAAAGAGGGCTCAATACTGGATATTTTCCTTGACCAGGCCACACAGACCAGAAGATCCCTGTGGTTCCAGGAAAGCACCCTGATGGATTAAGCATCCCCTGCAAATTCTCAGATAAACAAGGCAGGTTTGGCTATCTTCTCACCAAAATAACCAAAATGTGGAAGAAAAGGCTTTGCTCCCTACCCAGAGGCAACCTCTGAGTAGGTCGAGTCAAAGGATTTGCCATGGAGGTAGCAGCATCACATGGTTGCAGAAGCCGAGGCTTGGGAGGTAACAAACTTCATTTTAAACCATGCCAGTTACATACCCTCTGCGTGGTTTTAAATCACTGTCACCTCTCCCAGCCTCAGTTTCCTTACCTACACAGTGTTAACGCTTTCCTCTCAGAAGTGTTACGATGATGCTTACTAGAGTGCCAGACCATAACCAGTGCATCTCCCAGAATGAGGCTCAGCCTGGCAGCAGAAACTAAGTAGCAGAGGTTGGAGATCATTTACCAGCTGTCCCAGAGATCCGTAAGTCTCTTATAGCAGCCCCCCAGACATACCACACCCTAGTCAGCACAAAAAGCCAGGCTCATTCAATTGTGTTCAACAAATAGGAATGCTCCAGAGGTTTGAATCCAAAGGGGGGTTGGGGGTGGCGCACCAGGTAGTGCATACACCGTGAGCTTTCAGAGAAGGCCTCTAAGAGCTGTTGAGCCCACGCTGATCACCTTTGTGAAATGTGGGACGACTGATAACTCAAAGAGCCCCGGGATGAGTTAGTTCCTGTTGCCGTGGGAACTCCAGATCTCACTGCATTGTCAAGTCTCAGCAGAGAGGCTGTATTCACACTACTGGGCACTGATTAAAAACTGGAAGAAAAACATTCTCAGCACCCTGCCGGCTTGTACAGTGTGGTCCCAGCAGTTTGCAAATTCAAAGCTGAGCTCCCGAGTGGAATTGTGTAGCTTGTTCCTCATTCTCTGGCACTTATTGCCCCCCAGGGTTCTTCAAGGCCTTTAGAGAGGCTTGGGCAAGAGCTGGGAACCATAACCTCCATTAGACGGACGGGGAAACTGAGGGCAGCCACTTTGGTTAGCACATTCTCAGGCGCTGTGACTGCGAGGAAGCCACTGGGCCTTAATGTCGAAGAGATTGAGGCAAAGCCAGGAGCTACAGCCAGCGAGGGAGGGAGGAGGCCGGGGGTGGGGCGGAGGGAGGGGCCGAGCAAGACTCACCATTCAGTCGGGTCTGCCGGTTGGCTCGCACTCGCAGGAAGGTCTGGGGGAAGATCCCGGGCAGATGCGAAAAAAGAGAAGAGCGTCAGCCGCGGCCTGGAGTCCTGACCCCCGCCCGAGCACCGACCCGGTCCAGGCCTGTCCCGCCCCAAACAGCCCGTAAACAAACCTACTTCCTCCCTCCCGCCGGCCCCCCTGCTCCGCCGACCGCTCCGGGCCCTCGGCATAGCCGCCGGGGACTGCTCTAATGGGACCCCGTGGCCGCCGCGCGGCGCCGTTCCAGCCCCGGCTTCCGGCGCTCCGGGCCTCTCGGCCGCCCGGCCGGCGAGGGCGGCGATGCGGGCGGATTCCCCCCGGCTGCCCGGCGGCGGCGGCACTTCAGCTCCCAGCGGCGGCGGCGGCCATGTTGGCCCTGGTCACGTGACCGCTGCCGTCGCGCGCCCAGGGTGAAAGTTCAAGATGGGGGTGCAGGCGACCAGACTGGGACCAGGAAAAAGCTGCTGGCACTCGGGTAGCAACTCGCAGCGTGTGCCTGGGGTCCCTCCCACCAGCGGCAAAGCGTACCCGCTCCAGGTGGCGGCTGCAGGGTCCACCTATCCAGCTCCATGCCCTCTCGCGCGGGGCTCCGTCCTCTCAGAGCCCCGACCCTTCTTCCGCCTGCCTGCCGTGCGGCTGTCCTAGGGCAGCCAGGCTATTCTTTGGGCGGGAGGTGTCGGAATTCCTGATCGCCTGTGGGCGATCTCACTGCACATCCCGAGTGTTCCGTCCCCATCCCCATGGAGTTAAGCAGTCCCATTATTAGAGGATTCCCAACTTTTCAGCTGTCTGATGGACATCACCTGGAGCTCCCACAGGAACCACACACCCACGTGGTCAACGTGGAACTAGACGTCCCCCAGACGCTTTATTCCTGGGTTCCAGTTCAGAAAGGCACACTCAGGTGTGCTCTCACCGGAAACTTGAGAATGGTGCTGGGACCCCACCCTCCTTCGTTCTCAACACTTAGTGCTTACTTATCTAGATCTCAGAAAGTCTCCCCTTAAATGTTCTCTTTAAAAAAACTAATCATCTCCACCTCTGTGTATCTCCTACTCAATCTTTTGAAAAATATCTTTTCCTCTCGTTATAGTACTTCCATCCCTACCTTCATTATAGCTCACACAAAATTTTTATCAGTGTACTGACCATTTCAGGGTTGGGGCTATGTGTGAATCATGGGTGGATCCAAGCCTAGCACAGCGTTTGGCATAGGCAAGCCTCCCAGGGTGTTTCTTCAATGGCTATACCTATCTTGGATGTTACTGCTCCAATTCATAACCTTACGAGCTTTCTAAATTTTCAGCTGTCTTCCATCTGGCCTTCTGGTCTCCAGCTTCTCTTCCTGTAACCCAGCCTTCTCAGTAAAGACACTGTGATCTTTGTATTGTTCACAATTGACCCTGTCTCTCCACCTTCCTTAAACCCTTCAGTGGTTCTCCATCTATATGATCTGCAACATGGCATACAGGCCTTTTCTGACTCGCTCTACTTCTCCAGCCTCTTCTAGCACTCCTGCTGTCCCCCTTTGCCCTCCTGACACTCCGCTCTGCAGAGCTATGAATAGTTCTTTGAGCACTCCATGCCCTGGACTTGGGGCTAGATTATCCTCCATGCCTCCACAGCCCGTGCTTGGTTAACTGCTGTTCAACCCGTAGGGCTCTGGGAAGGCTTCACTTCCTCTCAAGTTTGGGTGAATCGCCTCCTCTGAGTTTTCACAGTACCTTGTCTTCCCTCTGATCTGGTATATTTTGATTGTTTACACATCTGCACCTTATTTATGGGAGGTCATCTCTATCTAGTCACCCAGCACAGGGTTTGGCATGCAGGAGATAAAAGTGGGAAGGGAAGGGGGATTATACTCGCACAAGAGAGAAGCCCCTGAGCCCAGTGCAGGGCTGAGAAGTAATCTAGGATTCAGGGCCAGACAGACTCAAGTTCAAATCCTGACTCTGTTACTCTTAAGAATCTATGTGTTCTTAGAAAATGAACTTCCCCTCTCCAGGCCTATCTCCTTAGCAATAAATTGGAAGGCAATGAATTCTAGCTTGTACAGTTGCTATGAAGGTAAAGTGAAATAATAGTTAAAAGATTAGGTAACCCAGCAGGGGCTAAAAAAATGGGAATCTAAACAAGAAACCAATACCCCTTAATTTTGAGTTTGATAATTAAAAAACAAAACAAAACCCAACATAATCGAGCAACTACTACATGCCAGGCATTGTGTAAAGATTAGGGGATGGGATACCCAGCTAGACCCTAGGGCACTTTCCAGGGTACTTCACCTCCTACCAATCTTCCTTGTGTTTTACATTCTAACAAAACTGAACTGATAGCAGGTCCCCAAATATGTCACTCTGGGTTATACCACTATGCCCTTTGCACATCCTGTTGCCTTGATCTGAGGTACCCTTTATTCCTTGTTCTCCAAAATGAACTGCTACTTGTCTTCTGAAGCCCTATTCAGTCATTACCTCCTCGGTGAAGCTTACTCTGATTTTTCTCCTCTGTCCACTGTGTGGTCCTGGAAACTTATTTATACCCCCGTCATAGCACTTAAAACACTGGGCTATCATTAGCTATCTGCAAATCTAATCCCTTGCAGGCAAGGACACTGGGCTAAGCATGAGTGAGTATAGATAAATGAGTAAAGGAAGGGAGTAAGGAAGGATAAGACAAGGCCCTTGCCTTGGAAGGACTCCAAGTCTAGTGGATAAACCATGTTCACTGTGACACAGTAAATGTGGCCCCAGTTCTTTGCACCTGCTCCTATCAAGAGCTACATCTCCTCATCCCTTGATCAAAGTTAGCTTTGTCATGCTTTGCCCAGTGATGTGTGAATTCCGGAGTCTGGACCTCAAGACACCTTGTAGCTTTGTCCTCCGCCCTCTTAGTGTGACATTGCCCTGAGACTGCCAAGTAAGGAAGCTGATCTAACCTACTGGAGGATGAGAGGCTGTGTGAAAGAGAACCAAGTTCCCCCCAGTCTTCCAGGCCATTGGGGACTTTCCAGCCCAGGCAGTCCTCCAGCTGATTGAGCTACATGAGTACGTGAGGGCCTAGTCAACTAACAGAATTCTGAGATATGATAAATTGTGTTAAACCACTAAGTTTGGGGAGGGTTTGTTATAAGCCAAGAGATAACCAAAACACACCTAAAGGGGTGACCACAGCATAGGATGATAAGGGCAATAACAGACACACCAGGGTCATGAGAAGAGAGAGCTATTCCAGAAAGTTTTCCTGGAGATGATGGGATTTGGGCAGGTTGTTGAAGGATAAATAAAAATTGGGTTGGTAAAATAGTCCTGTTAGAAGAAACAGTATGTGTATGATACAGAGGCAAGAAAAGAATGTCATAGCCAGAAAGTAGTTGGCATTAATTCGATGAGCATACCCATAGGATTCACGGAGGGCAGTATTAGGGATGGAAGCTGGAAATATGGGTTGAATCTAACCACAGAGGCCTTGGTACCATGCCTATGCCTGACCATTACTCTCTTCCTAACTCATCAGATGGTGAGGCTGAATGCTGTGACTGAAGTAGAGAGGATGGGTCCCTGAAGGCTGGGCTCTATCTGTCCCTTGGAAGGAAACTCTGGGACAGAGCCTTGTTTCCACGTCAGACCAGAATTCTCTAGCATTGGGTCCTTCTTCCGTCTCAAACCAGGGCTGTCTGGGTGAGGGTAATGTCTCCTAGGCTCTGGACTGAGAGCCTCTCTCAAACCAGGGTTAGTGAGAGGAGGGAATCTTTCCCCAGAGGTGGCACTTTGGGCTATGCGGTTTGAGTCCCACTCAAAGCATCCAGTGGAAGCTGGTGCCCAGCCCACCCTTGGCACTGCAACTCTCCAAGCTCTGCGCCCTGACGCCAGGCTGCGTCAGCTGGAAGTACAGGGTGTTCAGAGAGAACACCTCCAGCTCCAACAGGGGTTTTACGTGTGCAGCAGTGACGCTGCTTCTCTGCCCCAGATTACGGGGCCCTGCTGGCTTGTCTTTCTGCATCACGTCAGGGCTTCTGAGCTAGGGCTGTTTTTCCCTTTTCACCCTGGGGCTCCTGGAGGAGGCCTGTGCCATTTAGACAAATGTTCCTGGGAGCAGGGCCCTGCTTTCCTCCATCTGACTGGGGCTCCCAAAGGCAGGGCCCTGTCTCTCCTCAGAAGGAGAAGCTTCTGGGGGAAGTTCTTTCTCCTTCCTGCCCAAAGAAAGTCAAAAGAGAGTTAGGGTGTTAGCCTTAGGTCCTGCTCCTGCTCTGATGCTTTAGGATTGTGTAATTATTCCCTTTCTGTGTTGCCCAAGGCACTCACAGGCAATGACTGTCTGTGTCTCTTTCTCTCTCTGGGTCCCAGTACCAAGGTTTGGCAGGACTGAATGGTTGTTCGCTCAGGGGATCGTGGGTTTGAAGTGTGAAGTGTCCAGGTGGTTTGGGGCTATATCTCGGGTCCCTCATGAAACCGAACCCCATAGGATACGTCCTGATAAATGGGATGCTTCAGAGGTGTTTAGAGGCCACCAGAGCCCTGGTGTCCCTGGCTATCTGTTCCTAAAAATCCATCTACTTAAGGCACCTGTGCCTTCCAGGTTCAGTTAGGGGCGCTGGACACAGAGGGAATCCAAAACAGTTCAGGCCTCTCCTCTTACCTCCTGAGGAGGAAGGAGTTAGCACCAGCCACGCCCTCTAAGCTCTCACCCAAGGGAATTTCCTTCTCATGCTCATCCCGCCCACTCCTCACCTGGTATCTGTCTGAGTGGTGCAGGTCATCAGTGGCAGATGAGTGTGGTGATGCCGTCGGAGACTCTCCTTCCCTCTTGATGGAAGCAGACAACAGGAGGGACTGGAAGAAGAAAAAGGACATGTGGCCTTGGGCAGATGAGACCTATAGCCAGTCCCCTAGAGTTCCTGTTCTTATGGAGCTTCTGGGAGAGGGGCAGAGAGAAGGAGGGTGGAGGGGTAGAGGGACCACTTGAGATTTTGAAGACACGTGGTCAGGTTTAGGGAGAGGATGGCTTGACTCTCAGAATGGGTGGAGACCCCCTGAGGGCCCAGACCTCCTATGTCCCAGCTGACATCTACTCCAGTGGGGCAGGCTCCCAGCCTACTCTCAGAGGGCAGAGACGATACACGCTCCAGGACCCCCTGAAGGGCTGGGGGTAAAGCTGCACACTGGCTGCCCTGTCTGCCCCTAACATGGGCTGATGGCAGCCCCGCTATGGAGACAGTAAATTAAATAGCATGTATGAGTTTCTGCGTGCAGCTAGGGATGTACGGTGGGTCCATTTATCCCTGCGCTGCGACAATGACCCTAGCAAAAACCCCCAGCAAAACTAATCCCCCCATGTCAATCCTACATGGCCTCTTCTACATACGCCTGCAGTTTAGATTAATAAACTGTCTGCTTTAAATTGTGTGTGAGCATCACAATTCTAAATACCACATGGCACATTCAGCCTGCTCTTGCTGGCTCTTGCCAAGGCCTGTTCAGCTGCAAACGGGGGGCCTGGAGGCCTGAAAGCAATCCATACTTCCTCCCCCCACCTTCTCCAGCCTGCGCAGCTCTGAGCCAGAAGCATACAATTCCCTAGGAGGCCTCCCCAGCCTAGAAAACCATGCCAAATCGCCAGTGACAGCCCAAAGAAAGCAATTTGGGAAAGATGGAGCAGCCATTTATCCTTCATCTCCGACTGAGCCGTAGGATGTGACCCGCATGCGGTGGCCACACTGCACATCCTCAGGCGAGGGCCCCGGGAAGGGAGGGGCAGCTGCTGGTTGGCAGGGCTCCCTGGCTCGGCCTCGCCCCAAGAGCTGCAGGAGGAAGGCTGGGAAGGGCCTGGGGTGGGATTCCCTGCAATTTGGGGCCCCTTCTTCATCCACCCAGGCACTGTGGGCGGCCTAGTGAGTGACTTGGCCCCCTCTCCTCGGAAAAGACGTGGGCTTTGGGGCAATGTCCTTCTCTGGTCCCCAGAAAGGCTGAGGAAGGGGGAAACAATGTACCCCTGCCCCTCACCACAAGAAAGCTCACACTCGTGTTCTCTTCCCCCCGCGCCCCCCCCCCCCCCATCTGCCAACCTCTCTCTCATTCTCTCTAGGTTAGAAGCCCTGAGAAGCCTCAGCATTACACCTGGGGCAAGTGGAATAAAAAAAGGTCACCGGCGCTTTTTAAACATGGACCAAAAAGCAGTAAAATGTGTTTTGAAAAAAAAAAAATCCCGGCATTAAATCATGACTTTTTGCCTGGCTCTTCGCCTCATTAAAAGTGGCCTTTTGGAAGGTAAAATTATCATTGTAAGCGATAAGATCTTTAAGAAAATAATTCACGGCTTCTTCACCCTTTAATATGATAGCCGCCACCGGCTAATTTTTTTCTTAATGGCAACGAGGCCATCAATCTTGTCGAAGGCCCCCTTGCCCTCTCCTCCTCCTCCCTACTCCTTCTCCCTCTTCTCAGTCTCTTGCTTGAACCCTCTCCCTCATGCCCCTTGCGTGCACGACCTGCTTCCCTAAAGCCTCAGTCAAGACAGAGGACAGACCCCAAAATGTTCAGCTTCTGGGGTGTACACACACACACCCGGAAGTGGCTGAGCAGTGGTTGGAGCCTCTGAGTCCAGCCACCAGGACGTGCGGCTGCTGCAGGAATCCGCATGCTTCCGCGTCCTGGCTGCGTGCTCTGATCTGGTGCGTGTGCATTTGTGAGCATGGGGACGAGGTATGGACATGGATTGCGTCTGTTTGTCCTTAGCACACCAGCCTCCCTGGGGTCCAATTCTCAGTCCTGCCAGCCGTGCTCAGGTGTCAGGTGTCAGGGGTTGTAGTGGCCAAACTGGCAGCTTATCTATGACCTACCTTCTTCTGTAACCACAACCACTAAATGCTGTGACGTGGGCCAAGCTCAGAGAGTGTGGCTCCCCACCTCTGATCCACAGCTGCCTGCCACCTCCCATCTTTTCTCTTGGAGCTGGGAGAGCTTTGCTTCCTTGGCCAGGGCCTGCACCGATCCAAGGCTGGACTAGGTTCCCTGTCTCTTCTCTGTCCAGCTTGTGTGTTGGGTGATTTCCCGAATGACAGTGCAAAGTGCACCCCCCCCCCTTATAAAGGCCTGCAGGGGAGTTGAGCCAACCCTGGATCCTTTTCCCAAAACTGCCTTCTCAGAGCTCACCAGTGCCTTTAAGGTGTCTAAATACAATGGTCTCTTTCTCCAGCTTTTCTCTGTTTGGCTGCTGACACCCCAAATGTTTTGGAACTTTTTTCCCCTTAGGAGTCTGGGATACCATGCCCTCTTGTGCCCCTTCTAACTTGTGACTGTCCCTCCTCTGCCCCTTCCTGTCTCTGACCCTGTATCTGACCTCCCAGTGCAGGAGTCTCCAGCTTCTCTTCTTGGCTCTTGTTCTCACCTCCCCACACTCTCCCTGACCGATTTCATCCATTTCCAAAGCTTTGACACTCACTTCTCTCCCTTTATAAAAAGGGCTATGGATTCCTGCCTTTCTGAGTCATCGTGAGAACTTAGGAGAAAGGATGCCGGAGGGTGGGGCAGAGAAGAGGACACTCAGTGAGTGAGGGTTTAGTGTAGTCTTGCTCCCCAGGTCCCTACTCCCTCAAAATCATCCCTTTTGGGGAAGCAGGTCCATCTGCCTCCGTGGCCACCTACGGCAGTTCTTGGCACAACTCTCATCACTGTGCTGAGGCCTTTCTGGCCCATCCTTTGAGCCGCTACCTGCCCTTTACTTTTCCTTTCTCCGTCTGATGCTTTCAAGCCTCACTCCCATAGTATCTGTTCAGAGGGGCAGACTGTCTCCTCAAATGGGTCCAGCATCTTCCCTGGCTCCCTGTTGCCCGCAGGCCAAAGTACACACACACACACACACACACACACACACACACCGTGGTCTGGTTTCTAAAGCCCTGAGCTGCCTGTCTGTCTCGACCTGCACTGCACACAAGTACACTCAAGCACCTAGGGCAGCCTGAGGCCTCACGCGGCCGTTGAAACCCTAGGGACAGCTGAGGACCCAGGAAGAGCTCCTTTTATCCTCAGGAGGATGCAGCTCTGGGTGGGCCTAGGTTAGGGTGGACAGGAGGGGAACACACAACTGGCCACCTACCTTGGGAGTGCCTGGAGCCATGGCATCCTTCAGAAGGGAATTCTTGCTGCCAAGAGAGAAGAGAACAAGATTACCATTCCACCTGCTGCCCAGGGCAGGCAAGAGTAGAATAGCAAGAAGACCCCAAAGAGAGAAGGCATAGCCAGCCTAGCCCAGCCCAGCCTGGCCAAGCTCCACCCAGTCCATTCCATCCCAGCTGGCCCTGCTGAGCTCGGCGGCCATCAGGAGCTGAGGGCTAGAGATGTCTCCTGGGGAGGGGATGAAACACTAGGCATGGTAGGCTACCCTGTGGGTCTGAGGAAAGAGGCTTTACCTGACTCCTGGTATCAGCCTTGAGGATTCTGCCTGTCCTGGATGCCCCCTTCCCTCCACCCCCTGTCCCCAGTCTGCTCTTAGCCCCTATGGGACTGGGGTGATGGAGCTGACATGGCTCTTGTCAATTCTCCCTCCAACACGCTGCAAACTGCGTTAGGCCAGGAATGATCTCCCCCTGATTCAATTTGTCAGCCCCAGGCCCTCCGGCACCGGGTGCGGCAGGCAGGCGGGAGCTGGGCCTGAAATATGGTGGGTGGCTTGGAGCAGGCGGGGGAGGGGGAGGGAGGTGATGGATGGGCTGTGGGGGAGGCGAGGACTGTGTTTAATAACAAAATTGGTATGCAAGGCCACATCCCGTGCTAAGCATGAGTGATCCAGAGCCACAAAGTATTACAAATCCCCGCTAAACAGATGCTGACAATGGAACAAGATGTATCAAATCAGATCCACTTCAGAAACATTAATATCCCTGTTCCTGTCCCTCCCTGCCTGCTGCCCCCACTATGCTTGCACATCTGTGTTCACACATTCACGCACGTGCACTCACTCAACCCCCTGCACACACACACAAATACATGCACACAGAGGCACTGGCTGATACACGCACGGCAGCAGACATAGCACATTCACTAGGGTCCTCACACAGACCCAGGTACAAGCTGTCCAGGTGAAGCACACCCACAGATAGCCGGACCCTCAGAGACACGTAACGCACATCAAGGCAGGGCACACGGGGGCAGACACCACTCACCCGGCACGTGCGTACACTGGGAACACCCTCAGGGTCAGACACAGGCACGCCGATACACAGCCGAAGGCATGGGCAGGTGCAGAAGAAATAGTAGGTCTCACCTGGTGCCATTTTGCCACCAAGGGGACATTTGGTAATGTCTGGAAACACTTCCAATTGTTACAGCCTGGGGTTGGGAGTTTACTATTGGCATTTAGTGGGTAGAGGACATTAACCATCCTACGGTGTACTGGTAGCCTCTCACAATAAAGAATTATCCAGACCAAAATGTCAATAGTGCTGAGATCGAGAGACCCTAGTGCAAAGGCAGATACACATATCTGCTGTCTCTCTGTCATTCTGTCAACGGTCATGTAGATACATGTGGTTACACCCAATGGCTTAGCCAAGCAAACAGATGCATAGGCACAGAATCTTGTTCCGAGAGACATGTCCATAAAGACACATTCACAGCAGTCACTCTACCTGGATGACGAGCTGTTCCCCAAACCACACCCTCATAAATGCATGCTTACACAGACACCCACATGGACCAACACGCCCAGACACCCATGTACCCACGAAGGCTGACATGTGGACACATACCCACACAGACATGTACATTGTAGTGCAGGGGCCCCCAGGCTTGGCAGCAGGGTGAGGCTAAGGTCTGAGCATAAAAACAGAGCTGTCTGCTTGTCTCATCACATGGCAGGGGCACCACAGACCGGGGCAGGGCACGGACAGGCCAGGTTCCGTTCAATTACACTTTGTCGTTCTGCTCCAGGCCTGGCCCTGATCTGGGCACTAGGGATCCGGAGAAGAGACTGGGCTGCTCTTGAAGAGCAAGTAGCTGGTGAATTCATGACCTTCATTATTCCTTCACTTTCTCATTCATTCAGCCAACAAGTACTGACATCGCCATTGTGCCAGATGCTGTGCCTGGACCCTCAAACACAGAACTGAGGCATCCACTGTACAACGTTGTTCTCTCCGGACCCCTGGGCTGAGGTGAGGTCTGAGTATTATTTCAGCAGGATCCAGTTGGAACAGAAAAGGAAAGAACAAACAATTGCTGTGCGCCCACCACCTTCAGCAGGCCCGGGCTGGATACTTTGTACGTGTTACCTTTTATCTTCACAGAAACTTCACACAGTTGACTAACAGAGGTTAAGTGACACCTCTCTGTTCACACAGTCCGGATTTGAACTCACGGCTGACGGTGTCCCAAGTGCTGCTTTTCCTCTGCCCACCCTGCCACCCTAGTGACACTGAAGGAGTAGGGCCGAGGGCGGAGCTCTGAGATCTTTCTCTCTCTGTGCTTTGGCGAGGGGCCTGCTGGCCCTGGGCTTTAGTGTACTCTGTTGATGAGCAGAAATTGGGAAACACCGAGAGTCGTGATGTTCAGTCTCCCTTTCCCAAACCTCTGGATCTTTTCCTGGCAATTCTCTCCCCTTTCCCTCATTTCGTCTGGTACTGCCCCGGACTTCTTCCCTCTCTCTGAGCCTCACCGCCCCCCTGCCCCTCCCTACCTTTCCTCTAATTACCTGGTCACCTCCAAGCATGCGTGGCCCCCCAGAGACCAGAGTCTGGCAAAGAACCTGCCTTGGAGAGCAGAGGGCTGAGCCCCGAGCTGCAGGCAGCCGGCCTCTCTCCCAGCCCACCCACTCAGCTCTGCCTTCCGTCCCTCCTCATTTCCACAGCCCGCCCCCAACGATTTCCTCCCTTGCTCAGTCACTCGCTGCCTAGTGATCCATGGGTTTTAAATTATAACTGGGACCCAGGAAACGCGTTCCTAAGTACAATATTCATGGGCTGGGCTGACACTTTTAATTAAGGTGATTTACACTGAATTATCCTTGGAAATAAAGAAATGGTGCGCTGCCGGGGAATAAACCATCATCACCAGCCGCCTTTGTAAGTTACACTTCGTTTTAATCTATTTGGGGAATTGTTTATCTAGTTCATTACCCAACCAAACACCGAGGCCGGCCTTAAATAAGGCTTAAGTGGGGGTGGGGGCACTGCCATCTCCACACCCCGCCTCCCCTCCAGAGTCACCCAGCCTCCCCCTGGCTCTTTCTGGCCCCTTTAATGCACTGACCGGAGGGAGAGCTAGCTTCTCAGCCTAGAGGCCCGTACTCTACTTGAAGTGGCTCTGGAAGCCTCCCAGGAAAGGTGTCTGAGCTCAGGCCCGGTCAATCCTCACTTTCAGCTTTCTGCAGTCCCTCCACGGCCAGGTCCTTTTCCCCTGGGTGGAAACTGCTGTCTGAGGGCCACGGAAAAGTCTGGGGCAACCCTTCCTCCCGCCTGCTCTTCAGTCTTCCACTCTCATCAATGTTCCTGCCTATCAGTTCACATCCAGTCTCCACCCCATCACTATCCAAAAGCTGCCTTAGCTCAGCAAGCCCTGTCCATCATCCCCTCCTTCCCTCAGATGTTTGTGTCTCTGCTGTCGCTACCTTTCCTGACACCCAAGTCAGACAGCTCTTTCTAGTAAGTACCCAACAAGTCCGCTAAGTTCTCTTGCTTCTTCCTCCACTGGCCTCTCATCATTTGCTCTTCCCGCTGCCACTGCTGCTGTGCTAGGTCAGCCTCATCACCTGCCCCTTGGCCCAGCCCAGCCTGCTCACTTGCCTCCCTGCTTCTACCTCCAACTCATGCCCCACACTGGCCTCCAGAGTGATTCTCCTACAGCTCAGCTCCCTCAAAAGCGTCTTCCGGCTCACGGGTGTTCTAATTCCCTCGACCTCCAGGACAACCCTGCGGCACTGAAGGCCCTCCACTGTCTGTCCTCAGTCTAGCTTTGCCCTCCTTGCTCTAACTAGCTGAGTCCTGGGGTCTAATGGAATCCTGTGCAGGACTGAAAGGGGAAAGAGGGAGGATGGGGTGAGGGAGGGCGTGCAGGTACAGCCTCTGATCTCGAATTGAAGGTGCTTTGGAAAGTGTAAGCCTTTGCCAGTGGGAGCTCTGACTCTTCTTCCTGCAGGTGTCTGCGTGCCCATGTGCCTCTCCGGGTGTGTGAGCACATCTGTGCGTGTTAGGATGAGGATGTGTGTGAGGGCCCGTTCATCATGTACACACGTTTGCACCTATGTCTGTGAAAAGCAGCCAGTCCTAGTTTGGGGGCTGGAAGGTCCCCGATTCCGGGGCGGTGCCTACAATAGCAGCTTGCTTGGGGGGAGGGGACAGAGGGAGGCAGAAAGCATACCACCAGGCCCACCCTGAAAAGCTCCTTGGGGAGCAACCACGTGGGTGGAGGGACTGTGCCTCCTGGGTGATGCGGGCCCAGGCTGAAGGAGGGGAGGGAGGGAGGGCAGAAGAGGCAAAGGCAGGGTGAGAGAGGAAAGGGACCAGCTGGAGAGAAGAGAAGGAAGAAGGGAGGGGAGCCTGGTACACAGGGGGAACTGCTGGGGAGGAGGCCTCTGGCCGTAAGCCGCGGATGGGGGATGCCCTCATTTGGGCCCTACCCTCCTGCAGGACTCAGTTTCCCCATCTGTGAAATGGCTGGTAGAAGGCCACCCTCAGCGCAGGAGCTGAAGGCCGGGAGAGGAGGAGAGAGCCAGGTGCCACATCTTCTTCCAGCCTCCTCTGCCCTCCTCCTGCCTCCCCGAGAGCGAGAGCGGGCAGGGGGCAGGGGCGGGGCGAGGGCAGCCAAGGCTGGGGCCCTCCCCGCGCTAGCCCGCGCTAGCCCGCGGGGAGCTGACACACTCCTAGGGAATTTATCACGCACCCAATTACAATGTTAATTGGCAAGTTCCTGAAATCAATTAATTCGCAAATTTTTTCCAATTAAAAATCCAGATAAATCACGAGGGCGGCGGCGGGCCGGTCCAGCCTGCAGTCCGGTGGGCGCAGCGGCCGCGGGGAGGGGAGGGAGGAGTGACGAGGGCGCGGGGGGGGGGGGGGCGGCGGCGGGCGCGGCTGCCCTTGAACGCCTTTGCCGGCCGGTCGGACTGTCAGCGCGCCGGGCTCGGCGGGGCCGAGACAGATAAAACCATCGACCCGTCGCCGCCAGCGCTTCGGCTGTATCGATCCGACGGGAATTTCACTTGCTGTGCAGATCCCGCTGTCCGGCTGTCAGACATCGGGGGGTGGGGGTGGGGGTGGGGGTGGGGGGGGCGTCCAGGGGTGAGGGGGTGCCGGGCTGCGCCTGGACGTGAGGGGCACAGAAGTGGGGGAGGCGGCACGTAGACGTGAGAAGCGGCGCGGATGGGGGGGGGGGGGCTCTGGGTAGGGAAACGGGCACCGGAGAAAGGGCGCGGAGGTAGGCGCTGTGGGGGAGGAGGGTCGGGGCAGGGCCACGGCGGGGGCCGGGCAGGAAAGGCTGTGGGCAGAAGCCCCGGGCAGTGCGGCGGCGGCGGCGGCGCCGCGGGACTAGGCCGTAGTGGGGACCCCACTGCGGAGGTGGGCAGAGAACTCGGACACCCACTCTCCAGGCCCTTACGGGTGCACTGCTTATTTAAAAAAGACACTTAAAAATGTTTATTGATTTTAGAGAGAGAGGGAGAGAAAAATCAATAGTTTGCCTCTCCTACACACCCCTTCGGGTGTCAAACCTGAAACCTGCGCAGGGGCCCTGATGGGGCATCCAGCACCCAACCTTCGGATGTGTGGGCTGGCTTGCCAGCCGGCCAGCCACACCGCTGGGGGCGGAGTGCACTGCTCTCGCGCGGCTCCGCGGACCCCTCCCTCTCGGCCTCTATTCCCTGTCCTGTTGAGCAGAAGTCCCCCACTGGGGGGGGAAGTTACCCAGAAACCCTGCTGCACAGCCAAGGTATAGAACTCAACTGCAGAAGAGTGTTTCTTTCACTCCCCGCCCCTTCCGGGCTAGTGCCAGGTGTGTGTGCGTGAGTGTGTGTGGTTGGGCTAAGAGCATGGGCACTACAGTCAGACTGCTTGAGTATAAGTCTAATCTTTACCACTTTACTAGCTGTGCAACCTTAGAGAAGCCACTTCCCCTGTCTGTACCTCAGTTTCCTCATCTGTAAAATGGAGTTAATAATTATTACCTGCCCCAAGAGAGCTGTTGTGAAAATTAAGTAAATTGATACAATGTAATCACATTTTATGCTCTGGCACACAGTGAGCGCTCCACAGAGTTATTATTATTCTCACTGGTATAGTCTTCCGTGGTAGTGTTAGGTGCTCCCACAGATTCTCTGATGCTCTCCCCTTCAGGGGTAGAGCTTCTAGTCTTACTCTCTCCCCTTAAGGGTGGGCTGGACTTGGTGGCTCGCTTCGAATGCACAGAGTAGAATGTGTTGGAAGAAATCGTGTATGACTTCTGAGACAAGGTCATAGAAGGCATCGTGGCTTCCTCCTTAGTCTCTCTCCCGGGTCACTACCTCTGGGGGAAGTCAGCTGCCCTGTCACAGGGAAACTCAGCGGCCCGCTGGAGAACCTTGAGGCCTGCTGCCAACAGCCATATGAGTGAGCAGTCTTGGGAAGGGACCCTGCAGTCCCCATCAGACCTCCAGGTGACCGCAGCCTTGGCTGGCATCTTCACTGCAGCCTCACGAGAACTCGGAGCCAGAAGCCGCAACTACCCACAGCTACCCTACTCAGCCCATTCCTGGACTGGCCCACGGAAACTGTGAGATAATAAATGTTGTTTCAGGCTGCTTGGTTTGGGTCTAACACAGCAATAGATAAATAATGAATCTTCTTTCAAAATTCAGCTTGGGCCTCAGCTCCCTCAGGAGGTCTTCTGTGCTCTGTGTGTGTGGGGGGGGGGCGGGGGGGGTTGGTGCCTCGTTTACACCCGCCACAGCTCCAGGGCTTCCAGTAGAGCAGCCTCTGCCCCTCAGGGTTTCTGTTGCCTGGTTCTGCTTACTCCCATACAAGGAGAGGGCGGGGCCATTCCCGATTCTCCTTGGGATCCCCTGCACCCTGCACAGGGGCTTGGGTGAGAGCATAGCAGGTAGGTGGATCAGTCTAGTTTGGTGACTTAAACTGAACTGGTGGGGCAGGCTGTTCCCCTGTGGCAGATTGTGTTTTCCAAAGGTGGCTGCAGCCATATCTCCTCCCATCACACATGCTCTCCTATAACATGAGCTTGCCTTCCGCCCATCAGAAGGTGGGGTGAATGCCCCTTCCCTTTGAATCTGGGTGGGCTAATACCACCTTGACCAATAGAGTACAGCAGAAGTGACGTTAAGTGATTTCTGAGGCTAGATTATAAAAACTGACCCAGCCCTGGCCAGTGGCTCAGTTGGTTGGAGCATCACACCGCACACCAAAGGGCTGCAGGTTCAATTCTCGGTCAGGGCACATACCTAGGTTGTGGGTTTGATCCCAGGTGTGGGCATGTGCGGGAGGCAGCCAATCAATGTTTCTCTCTCACATCGATGATTCTCTCTCTCTTTCTGTGTCTCTCTTTCAAATCAAGAAACATATCCTCAGGTGAGGATTAAAAAATAAAAAATGACCCAGCTTCCATATACTGTAGGTTAGAACATTTATTTTAGAGCTCTAAGCTACCATTTAAGAAGTCCAACTACCCAAATCTGCCATGAGATGAGAGAGCCTGGGCCACATGGAGAAGCCGTGTGTAGGTGCTTCAGTCACAGCCCCCGCTGAAGTTCCGGATGACAGCCAACGTCAGCCCTACGTGTGAGTCACAGAGCTTCCAGACCATCCCAGCTCCCAGCTACCGAGTCCTCCCCAGCCTTTGACACCCTGCCATAGACACAAGTCACCCCCTCTGTGCTCTGCCTGAACTCCCGACTCCACAAATTCCGTGAACATAATGAAATGGTTGCTTTTCACTGCTGAGACTGGGGTAAATTGGTACACCCCTCCTCTGCTCTATTTAATAACCTGGCTCCCCCTCCCGGCTGTCCAGGAAGCTCCCCCCAGTCCTTCGCGCACAGACAGGGGAGCTAGGGTGAAGCAGTGGGGGACAGGCCTGAACACATCCTCAAGGTTGTCGCCTTTCAGACCTGGAGATTCATGGAGCAGGCAGTGTTTACTCCCCTGGATGGCAGCACCGGGCTGCACTTCTGGTGGGGCTACCAGACCGGCTCCCTGCTGCCCTCCCCCTGCCCTGGGGTGCAGCGTGGCAGTTCGGGGGCTGGGGAGCGGCTTATCCCTCCTTAGCTCTTCCTGTGCCCTTTTGAGACTGTGGCCTCAAGAGGGGTCACTCTTCCCATCTCTGAAAACAGAGCAAGAAGAGGAAGGCAGCACTGTTCAGCTGGCGGACCCGAGGCCTGAAGGTGGACTAGAGGAGAACGGCATCAGGGCCTTGTCTTCTGCCTAGAGGCTGGGGTGCGGGCCCAGGGGCTCTTCCTGGGACCTGGTAGCCAGGATCCTGAGTGGCAGCCTCTGGCAGGCAAGCTCCCCTGTTAGGTGGCTTACCTGGTGGGCAGTTGGGCCAGGTGTTCCAGTTCTTGCTCCATATGCTCCTGCAACTCGCTGGGCCTCAGCAGGACCTGGCAGATGGGGCAAATAGGGGCCTGGCTGTCAAACAAGGCTGCTGCCTTTTTCTTACCTGGTGAGGGAAGAAGAACAGACAGAAATATAAGCTGGGCCGGTCTGCAGAGGGAAACCTGGTGTCCTAATCCTCCGACCCAAGGCTGCTGATGCCTCCTCGGGCTTCTTGGCTTCGAGAAAAGTGAGCCTGAGGGTCTTGGAGACCGTGAGTGTCACTCCTTTTTGCAGCCCCAGGGCTGTGGCCGTGAACACCCCTCTCAGAAATCATCAGGACACAATCGATGCTCCAGGCCAGCGATTTTCAACCGGTGTGCTGCAAGCATGTTTAAAACGTGCAATACCTGACTGCTTAGTCAGGGGCACTGACCTCTTTCCCCCGAGTCTGTCAAATAACAGAATGACAACAGCCAACACAAGCATAGTCATCGGTAGGAATGAATCAAAATCACACCTATTTTTTTTTGCGTCAGATTGGCAAAAAATATATTTTTGGTGTGCTGCAGACTTTTAGTAATTAATTTATGTGCGTCGTGAGATGAAAAAGGTTGAAAACCGCTGCTCCAGGCAATCATACCTTGGTCACTTCACTTCACACAGGTTAGTGAAGGTCTCGGTTCAATCACACCGTCACCCAGAATACCCGGTGCCCTCTCTGCCTCTCCCTTCCCCTTAGTGCTTCCACCCTCCCCCAAATCTGGAGGAGGACGGAAAGAGGGAGGAAAGCGATCCTTTCCTGCGGTCACTCTACAAACACCGTCTGCTGTCTACTCTGAGTGGTGGGACAGACTGGATGCAGATCTGGTCCCTGCCCCAGAGGCCCTCACGGTCAGGTGGGAAGGGCGGGAAGGGACCCAGGTGAATGCCATCTTTTAGGGTAGCTCTCTGCCCCAGTTCCTCGCTTTTCTGCAGGGTTCCTTCTTTCCACAGCCTCTTCTTTCCTTGCTTTGCATGCTGGGAAATATTGTTCCTTCTTGGCCCTGATTCCTACCTGTGCCCTGTCGCCTCCAGAATCTGAAACTCTACCCTGGATCCCTCCCGTGTTCTCCAGACCCCGATATCCCAAGGCCTTTGGTTGCCAATGCTTGGATGTCCCAGGAGAATCTGAAACTCAACCATCCCAAAACGACTTTTTCAGGTTCTTTGCCCCTCCCAGACCTGCCCCCTCGTCAGCAGGGCCCACCCCAGTCAATGACACCTGCATTGGCCTCGCCACCCAAGCCAGTAACATTTGCCTTTATGCCCACCTTTATTTCACCACTAAGTCCTGTCCATTCTCACCTTCAGTATTCCTGGAATCTGTGTTCCCCCTGGTTAGGCTGTGCCCCCTCTCACTTGGATAAACCCCACTGACCTCTGTGGATCTCGCAGATGCTGGGCTCTCCCCCTCCACAACGTCCTTCGAACTGTGTGCTCCCAGTACACAAGTGCACGTAGGTATAGTGCTAGCTATACGGACTTGGGTGCCGGCTGGAAGCCTGAACCCTGTCCCCACTCTGTCCCTGTCGGTGACCAGAACTCACCATGCTGGGAAGGGGCCCGCAGGTTGCCTAGTACACCCCCGGGCTGCCTAGACCCCTCCCGTGCCACTTTCCCAGCCTGTGCTCCCCTGGCCCCCGCTTACTGGCATACAGCTGAGGAGCCCTATTTATGTGGAAACATCCCTGCCTATCCATGGGAGCCCTGCCAGGAGAAAGGACTTTTAGCTTCAGCCCAGGCCTCTCTCCCTGCTTCTTCTGCCCACTGATGCCCGGGGAAGGTCAAGACCAGTTTTCAGAGAGATGAAGGCTATGCCAGTGATGATCAAGAGGCTGGTGTGAGCAGGGTTGCCAGATTAAAGATGGAAGATGCCTCGTTAAATATGAATTTCAGATAAATAATGAATAATTTTTAGTGTAAGTATGTCCCAAATGTTGCATGGAACTTACTTAGACTAAAAGGTATTCATTGTTTTTCTAAAATTCCAATTTTCCTGAGTGCCTGTCCTTTTATTGGTGAAATCTAGCAGCCCCGGCCTGAGGGAGCCCCCAGACAGGCTGAACCCAAGAACTCGCCTCCCTGCGACGCAGGCTGAGGATGATCACGGCTCTCCTGTGTGTTCACAGGGAGGAGTAACTCATTCTGGATGTGTGTCTTGAGGAGTGGAAACAAGAAGCTTAACCAACGAAATGAAATGTAAGTTGTGACTCAGAAGTGTTCCAGGCAGAGAATGGGAGTACAGGAACGCGTGAACGAATGAGTGGGTCGTGAGTTGCCTGTGGGCAGGGGCCGCTTCTTACCCACTGTTTTATTTACAGACAACTGAAAACAGATGACACACACCAGGAGCTCAGTGATGAAGCAAGGGGGAGGAGAGGAGGGAGGGAGGGAGGTGAGGTAGGGACGAAGAGCAGGTCGCCCTAGAGGTCAGATGACCTTTGCAGAGTTGGGAGGTCAGCCTTGGAGGCTTTCTTTGTGTCAGGGTAAGGTAGGAAAGTCTCTAGTCTGTGCAGCTAGGTCGCTGAGCAGGGCAAAGGGCCCTGCTGCTCATGTGCCTTGGTGGCTGTACCTCAGATGCTCAGGGGACAGTTGGCAGGCAGCTCTGAGTAAAAGAAGCAGATGCAGCCCTGGTCTGGAAGTGAGGAGATGAGGATATACTTTTTTATCCTCACCCAGGTTTTTTTTTTCCCCCACTGTTTTTAGAAAGAGAGAAGGGGAGAGAGAGACATATCAATGCGAGACAGAAGCACTGACTGGTTGCTTCCATACGCACCTGGACCAGGGATCGAACCCTCAACCTAGGCATATACACTGACTGGGAATCAAACCTGCAACCTTTTGGCTACAGGATGGAGCTCCAGCCAACAGAGCAGCACCGGCCAGGGCAGGAGATGAGGATTTGAGTCTGAGCTCTGCCTTGAACTGCACTCAGCCAGAGGCTCTCAGAGGTGAGCGAGACCCTAGATAGCCTCCAGGTCATCATCTTTATTTTACAGATGGGACAACTGAGGCTCAGGACTGGACGGGGACCTCTGTACTTGGCTTTTGATCTCATTGCCTCATTTATTAAATTCAGCAAACATGTACTGAACGATTATTCTACTTCAAATATGGATATGATTCTAGGAGGAACTGAAATTCAGAGACAAATAAAACACATTCTTGGTCTCAAGGAGATCACAAACTAGTAGGAAATGGAAAAGAGAAAGTCAGTTATTGGTCAGTGCAGCCCTGGTCAGGGTCAGGGTGGGGGGGGGTGGGGGGTGGGGAGGGAGAGGCACGAGGGAGGCTCTGGGTGGGGCAGGAAGGGGCAGAGGAGGGCTGGTGGGTCCAGGGGAAGGGTGAGTCAGGGAGAGTTGACAAGGCTGTTGAAACAAATCACTGAGGCAAAGCCCGGGATTAAAGAGGACAATCGTAGGAGAGGAGACGGGAGAAAGGAGGATCCAAGGCACGGGGTCTGAGCCGAGGTGGACATGTGGGTCGGTGTCCCCTTCAGCCTGGGGCCCCAGCTCTGGCTCCTAGGGCTCCTTCAAGCGCGGCTCCCCACCTCTGAGCCTGGCGCCAGGCTTCAGCATTCCCACACACCGGGGCTCAGTCCATCTGCCCGGGTGCCACAGAGATCTGCGTTTCTGAAACTGGAGCCGCAGTCAGTTTCCCTGTTGGGACAATGGGCCCGCTTCCTGGCTCCCAGCTTCAGGAGCAGCCTTGACAGGCATCCGGGGAGGAGCCCTGCAGCCTGCGTTCCCCATCCAGCCCTGCTTTCTCAGGGGCCGGAGTGGCAGGTGTCAGCGTGACCGTGGGCCTCCTGCTTCCCCTCCCCCGCTGTGTTCCCTATAATTTTATATTGAGACCTGTGGTCATGACGTGGGTTTTACTGCACTAACGACATGGCCTGCCCAGGTTTAATGACAAAATCCATACTCTGGCCCTGGGCCTGCTCCTCGTTTGCATAATTCCCAGAATACAGCTCCCTGAAGCTTTTGACCTGGGCCATTACAGTGGCCATAAAATGGGCCATAAAACTGCTGGGGATGGCCAGAAGGAGGGGGCTGTGGTCTTGTGGGGGTGGGAACAAAGTCCTCAACCCCCTACTCGTCCTAGGCCTGGGAGGAGGCATCCTCTGGCTCTTCCCTTCCAGGGTTCCCAGGATCTGGGAGCCCATCTCAGGCTGGAGAGGCCTCCAGGAGTCCTTAGCCCAGCTACCCATCTGATGCAGGGACCCTTTCTCCAGCACCGCTGCCAGCACCACAGGTGGGCAGACAGAGCCCACCAGGCACAGGCTGTCAGAAAGCATCTTCTCCTAAAGCATCGTTCACTCCTGCCCCGGCCTCCCATCCCATAGCCAGCCAAGCCCTTTGCCACAGGTGGGTCTAGGTCATTTGAGCCTGGGTTGAATCTCGTCCCTCCTCCGGAGGCCCAGCTCCCTCGGGAGGTCAGGAGCAGTCTGTGCAGCACAGTGGGGAGACACGGGATGCACGAGGGGATGGGGACAGGGACTGGGACGGGCTGTCAGTGCTAAAGATGATGAATGGGGGAGGTGAGGCGGGAGGCCCAGTGTTATCGGCAGAGGATGGCAGGTGCGGGCGCTCGCCGCTCCTGCTAATCCCCGGGCGCTGCCTCAGCCCTTGCACTGATAACGAGGAAATGGGACTGACAACAATTTTTAGCTGAGAGATTCTTCACCAAAATGCCAGGCGGCCGGAGGTCTGACAGCGCCTGATTGAGTGTGTGAGTGTGTGGGGGGAACGCCCGCGGCCCCCTCCCCTCCCATGCAAAGATGGATCGTTCATTCCGCCTCCCGTCCACATTCATTACCGCGCCACCCTCCCGCCACCCCGGTTCCCACAGAACCTGCCACCTCCACTTCTCCGCTTGCCACAGGTATCCCCTGAAGCAAGAGGAGGGTGGGGAGCAGTGGGGCCCCGGATCCTGTTCTCAGCCTTGGGTAGGGCATTTCAAGCTCAAAGAGCCCAGAGGTGACCGCAAGGTCACGGCCGAGAGACAGGCCCGCCTGGAAGCTCCCTAGCTGTGTGGCCTCCTGAGGGTCTCTTTCCCTTCCCAGCTGCTGGAGTGCCTTCCCCG